GTATTCTAGGGTTAATCATTTAAAAATAGTAAATATCTAAAGCAGAAGTTAGCAGTCAAATACCCATAAAAGTTGAAATTATCGGATTGATAAACTTTTTAGTACCTACTTAAAAATTTAGCTTTGAGGTTAGAACATTACCTGTTGAGGCACACCAGCGTCTGATCCTTAAAACCTCTGTTGATTTGAATTCTCTCTGTAAATACCAACCAAAGATATTCTGAGGCATTGAAGGTGGTCATTTGTGTCCTTTTCAGTGCGAAAGCCAGCCTATAAAATTGGCTTTACATGTTGATGTTGACGGTCCAGAAAACTGCGAAGAATTCCTATCTATGGTATGATGACCTCTGAAAATAATCAAGACAAACCAGATTGCAACTGCCTAGAAAAGGAAGACCTGGAAATAACACTTGAGGAGGCCTATCTTCAGTAGTGGACCCAAGAAGTTGCATGATGATGATGATTCCAACCTAAACTAGACACACAAAAAAACATGCTTCTGGAATAAACTTCTTCAAACAAGAACATCCCTGCTACCACATAAAATCTGATCACTTGCCTCTTTTATCTAGAAAACACAAAAGCAATTTTGCCTGGAAAAGTTATTGAGAATTAAGCTATTCTTATATGGCCCATTAGGCTGAATTCATTTGAAACCACATTGTGCAGCTGACATCTCATCGGTAGTGCCACCACTGCTACACTTACCCTGAATAGTATAATTATGTAGCAAATGGGATCCAGGACAACTATGGCATTAGGCTTCCCCAGGGGCCACCAAATACCAAAAAGAAATAATCAAACCACGAGTTTTTGTCCTGGATATCAGTGAAACGCAATTTCAATTACTAATTATTTAAAGAGAAAATTATTGAAAATAGTTACAGCCAAATGCTCAAAGTCCAATACCTCACTAACATAACAGAAGTACCTAGACGGCAGTGACGGCACAAACATATTGCAGGAATATTCATGGCATATTTCATGGGAATATTGAGATATGTCATTCATATGCCATGCAGATCTATTCATATGACAGCCAGGCATATGCTTAAGTCACCATGAAACATATCCCTGCAATCTGCCACATATGACAATTGGATATTGGAATATTCATTGAATATCCAATATCCTTAAAGATTGTGTGATGAATATTTCATGCATATTAATTAGATATTAACAGAAAAACCTCGCTGGTGTACCTACCCCCTCAAAATTGGCCCCTCGACCTGTTCTCCCAATCCCATCCATACCTAAAAAGAACCTTTAAATTTGTCAAAATGACGGGTGTCCTAGCGAGAATTCAGATATTTCAACTTTTTTATTCCGTTAATTCTTCTGAACGGTTGGAATTGGTTTACTGTAGGCACAAATAGCTTACATGTCCCTCTATCCCTATTTTAAATTATCTATCAATTTCCATCAAAATGGAGTTTTCTCTCTAAAACTTAGCGTTGGTATAAAATTTTTGGCGCCTTAAAACATGTAGAAAATAAATTTCTCTAATTTTATTAAATTATTATGTGAAAATCTACCTTTCGCATATTCAAAGAATATGCTCACATGATATTCACAGCATATCCTATAACTACATGCCAGTCTCCCTTTCGCATATTCAAGGAATATGCACACATGATATCCACAGCATATCCTATAACTACATGCCAGGAATATGCTAAATTAATAGAGTTGATATTACAAATATGCTGGGGATATTTCTGGATTATTGCAGTATGCCTGGGAAAATTGGCAGATTGTAGGCATATACCAGCAATATTGGGTGCCGTCTGGGTAACTTACCAAGGTTCTGGTTTCTGTACCTATCACACCTGAAAAAGAAAAACAGAATGTATAATTCCTCTGGAAGGTTGATGAAAGCATACATGGACCTGTGGCATGCCTGAAGGGCAGTTAGGATCATAGTTGTTGAAGTTAAGAACATTACCTTTTTAGAGACACCAGCGTCTAATCCATATAAAAACTCTGTTGATCTGAATTCCCTGCTGTAAATACCAACCAACAAGGGTTCGTCATTGAAATTTGTGCTGTATCAAAAACCACCTGACGAAATCGGCTGGATGTATTGCTAGATTGAGGGCGGATGGTCCAGATTTCCCAATTGGATTTACTAGAATAGAAAATGGACAACACCTGAAAACATCCCAACCTAAACTAGACACACAAAAAAAAACTTATTTGCACCGATCCTCTATAGAAGCATAAAGCGAATAAGGACCTTTGTCTATTTAATGTATCGAGAAGATTCTCCATTCCGATTATTTGCAATTGGTTATTAGAAATATAATAGAAATTCTAAATTTTTGATCATTGTTTAATAATGTTTTATTACATTTTATTGTAATATGCTAACATGGAAATCGCAATAGAACACGAAATACCTACTTCACTACCAAACTTACCCAATGAGAAGTAGCTTATACCCAACGTCTTGATGATCCTGATGGTATCACACCTATCAAAATTTACTTATTATCCAATTCATCAATCAGCCATGTTTTTATGTTGTGGATAGATTCTTGAGATTCTTTCCCCATTTCGCGATTTATAGTTGCTTGATATCTGCAGTAAAGCAGCTGGTTTCAACGTGTGGCGTCAATATTTTCCTCTAAAAAATTATGTACTTGAGTAAAACTTGGTGCAGGCCTAAACTTGCCAACCACTAGAATTTAGGCCAGGTTCACATGGTCCAAGTGCACTTGAATGATAACTTGGACCAAGTAAGTTGGCAGCCATGGATCTATCCAAATGGATTTGGATAAACAGTTGAAACGATCCAAGTATTGTCCAAAGGTATTTGATCCAAGTATACTTGAACACTGCCAACCTGGATTTATCTGCAATGTTTAAATTTTATCAGAAAAACTAAGGGATTATCAACCAAAAGGCAATAAACAGTTGTTGGTACTTACGAAATTTAATAATTTTCACTAATCAATTATTGGAAAATTCGGTCAAGAATAATAAGTCACCAAAACTCGAAATGCTCAATTATTTTTTGAACATTTTTATTCTTCCACGACGGTTATCTAATAGTCGACTGCCAATAAGTGGCGATTTGCCGAACCCTTTTTAAAGTCCTAAAGAAAATTAGGTAAGTAGGTACTTAAGGTAAGTGCTACCAAACTTTGGTACTGCGAGCTGCTACTTTACTGTAAGAATATTTTTCTCAACCGAACAAAATTGTCGGAGCTTGTTTACATTACCCGACCGCCTTCATAACATTTTTTGTTCTTCAGTGATGATCCATGATTTATTATTGAAATAAATAAATCCCATTTGCTTATTTTTTGCTGAAATGGACATTTTTCCCATTGTTCTTCTACTGTAGAAAAGAGAAAATTTTCCATGGCTTAGGTGGTACCTACCTAGCAACTTATCTTAAAAATTTCTAAAAGGATTTTTTAGCGACTAACCGTTTGTAAACGTGTTATAAACGGTAACTGAAAATATGATGTACTTTCAGTGTAGAAACCCTCTGTCCTACGGGATAGAGATCTGTATGTAAATCCATGAATATACGTCGAAATACATGGATATTGGGTGAAGATACGTAGAGTTCCACTGGAAGATACCTACATGAAGATCCGGTGGAAATATATTGAGATCCAAGAACTTCGGCTGCAATCGTGTAGAATCGGAAGCGTGTTACATCATTTAAACTGGTACCATGGTTATTAACGTATATGGAGGTCCGAATAGGAAATACACGAAAATCCAAATGATTTCTATGGAGATGCCAAGAGATCTCAGGATATCCCTGGAGATCCAAGAATATCTATGGAGCTCTATGGAGTCTCAAGAAAATCTCCACACACGGTAATTTTCTGTCCTAAAATATCGTGACTATATACCCTTTTGGGTTTTTTGTCAGTCGCAGATATTAGATATCTGATTCCTTAATGTTTTTGGTATAGCGATCTAGCTTCGATAATTGAAAAACAACGTTTCCTCTTTGCAGTTTGGTGTTACATCTTGCCATACAAAAATTACTTGAGAAATTCCATAAGTCAGCATAGACTGCATGATCTTTCCATTTTATTGTCTATCAGACATAGCACAGCATCCAATATGGATATTCGGTATTAAGTTGATCCAGAAAAATTATCCAATGGATAGAGGAGCCACAGATAATCAAAATTTGAACTATTATCGGCTCTTGATTCTTTGGAAAACCTGCCTAGAGCCAATCAAGAGCTGGTAATAGTCAAAATTTTAACTTTTATCAACTTTGGATTCGCAAGAGAATTTTTCTAAGGGCATTCACAGCTCAAGAGCCGATAATAATCAAAATTTCGAATGATCATCAGCCATCAGTTCTTAAGCTGATAGTAATCAAAATGTCTTCTTCTGCAGCTTCTAATTGGCTGCAGAAAAATTATCCAATGGATCAAGAGTCACAGATAATCCAAATTTGAATTATTACCGGCTCTTGATTCTTTGGAAAACCTTCCTATAGCCAATCAAAAGCCGGTTATAGTCAAAATTTGAACTTTTATCAAACTCTGGATTCGCTAGAGAATTTTTCTAAGAGCATTCAAAGCTCAAGAGCCGATAATAATCAAAATTTTGAATGATCATTAGCAGCTCTTAAGTTGGTATTAATCAAACTTTCTTCTTCCGCAGCTTCTCATTGGCTCAAGAAAAATTATCCAATGAATCAAGAGCCACAGATAAGAAAAATTTGAACTATTACCGGCTCTTGATTCTCTGGAAAACCTTCCTAGAGCCAATCAAGAGCCGGTAATAGTCAAAATTTAAACTTTTATCAACTCTCTGGGTTCCCTAGAGAATCGTTCTAAGGGCAGTCAAGACTCAAGAATTGGTCTCTTGATCTTCTAAGACCCGTTACAATAGGTATAGATTTTTATAATTTGCAGGAAATACCGGTTGTATTTTGACACTAAATGACATTTTATTCATTTATTTACCAAATATTTGCGGAAATAATACAAATCTAGTAAAATATATACGATAATCCGATGGGTAAGAAAGGTGGTAAAAAAGGAAAACACGAAAAAGGTTCAGAAACCTTAGAACCAGTTTTGCCTACCATAACAGAAGAGCTAGAGCAAACTCCAGATGAGCCAACCGAACCGACACGAACCCGGTCAGAACCAACAGAGTGTAAGAGAAAATTTGAAACCTTAAAATAATTTATCAGACACCCAAAGAATAGAGAAAATATTTTGCATTAGGCTCTTTGTAATAATTGTTCTCCGCTATAAAATCAAGTTTGTTTGGAAATTCTAGTAACTCTAGACGATGTTGAACCGTCAGAACCAAAGAAAAGTAAAAGTATCCTCAAGGAAAAGAGCGGCACTTTTCTTCTGCGAGACTCTTCGGAAAGAAAGAAAAGTCAAAGTGTGGTAGCTTTTGAAGATGGAGAAGAACAAGAGGGCATCGAAGAGGTCGATGTGCCGCCTGTCGAAATTCAAATGCCAGATATTGAGGAATCTAAAGAAAAAGTTAAAAAAGGGAAAAAAGGTGATTGATTGTAATATTTTCTGGAATCATTTAAATTTTTTTTGTCAGGTAAAAAATCAGATAAAGGTGATGATGGAGTGCAAGACAAGCCTAAAAAGGAAAAAAAAGGTAAGAAAGGAAAAATTAAGGATGAAGAAAGTATTGGTAAAGGAGACGAAGGAAGTAAAACGGACGAAGAAAGCAAAGCCGACGAAGACAGTAAATCCGAAGAAGTTCCACAAAAAAAGACTAAAAAGGGCAAAAAGGTCTACACCTACTCATGAAATTAAAATTTATAAATCATAATAATAATCCCTTATAGGGTAAATCCGAAGAAATGTCCTCGATAGACATAGCAACCGAAACAGAAAAAACAGTGAAAGAAAGTAAACCAGCAAAAAAAGGCAAAAAAGCAAAAAAAGAAGCTGTTGCGATTGAAGAAAATGAAGAAATTGAAACGAAACCTAAAAAAGAAAAGAGAGGTAAAAAGGGGCGTGCAATCCATGAAGTAAGTTTTAGGAAAAAATCAACTTATACCTAGGTAAAATCTAATAAATATTTAGGGGGCCGAAAGACGAATTTCCAAAGCATCCTCGAAAGCATCTGTTAATAAGTCTGAAAAATCTGAAGATACCGAAAAATCTGTAGATACCGAAAAATCCGTTGAATCTTTGACTAGCAAAAAGAAACGAAAAGGCTCCAGGTACCTATAAAATATATCCATACATTTTGTCAATGCCTACTGATCGATTTTAGGGAGAAATCTAAAACTAGAATGGGAGATGAATCTGAAACTATGGAAGAGAAAAAACGAAGACGGCTGTCTTCTAGGTGACTTAACTTAAAGTTCCTAAATTAAATTATTATATTTAAATTTATTATTTTTTTGTTTGTTTTATATTAAGTGCGAAAAAGTATAATTATACTAACAGAGCCAGGTGAGTCATCTATATACTAATGGAAACTAAAATACCCATATAAAATTCCATGTTAGAATATCAACTATATCTTCCGAATCAGACGCATCGGCAGATATAGATATGGAAAAATTAGCCGAAATTGCAGCGCAAGCAATAGCAGGAAAAAGTACGAAGAAGGGTAAAAAAGGAAAGGTAAACATACAATATTGGATAAATAGAGAGTCATAAATAGACAATATTATTTTAGAAAGAAAAAGTGATAATACCGGAAGAAATAATAGATGAGGAAGAACAGGAGAGAAGATGGTTTGCAGCTGAAGCAGAGAAAGCCCGGAAAAAAGCTGAGAAGGAGGAGCAGAAGAAAGCGAAAAGAGAAGCGATTAAGGAAGCAAAGAGAGCAGCTAAAAAAGAAGCGGAAGAAAAAAGAAAAGGTTTATATACAATATCAAATCAATTATTTTAATATATTAATGTTTTTTTCAGCGGAAAGAGTAGAAACAGATGAAGAAGCGTTAAAAAGGAAAATTGACGAACTAAAAAAGCATGCGAAACATTTGGGTAAATTATTACTCGTGGCATATTCTGTGCTAATAATTTAAGAAACCATACATTTATAGGCATATCAGAGACAGAAATTGCTCAATCAACAGAGGGAGACGAAGAATTAAAATTAAGTACTTATATAGACCCAGATTTTTGTACCCCCATTGTTCAAAACCAATTTATTTAAGTATTACTTATAATATTTAAAATATATTTGTGTTGTTTAGGGTCCCAAAAAAAAGATTTCAAAGAAGGAGAAAGCCAAAATGACAGCGGAGATGGCTGAAATGGCTAAAGCGGATATGGAGGCTCAAGCTAAAAGGTATTTAACAAATAAATCTTAGTTTCAAATGTAGAAAATTATATGTAGGCTGGAGGAATTACTAAAAAAGAAAAAAGAAGAAGAACATTTAGCGGCTATTGAAAAAGACAAACAAGAAGTTTTTGATCAGCAAAACAGGGTGGAGCAACTTGAAGAAACAAACCAATTAATAAAGGATATTGCATATTTTTCGACGGAAATTGCTAGAGAAGAGAAAGAATTATTAGAGGTATAGTGCCAATATGTAGATGTCAATCTTCATACAATTTGTGTCTTTATTTTAGTGGAACAAATACGTTGAATGTGGCAGACTTCCCAATCCAGCTTTCGTGGATCAAATGAATACGTATCTGCATTTATGGGAAATGGATTTGGTTAATACCAGCATGAGTGATGCTTCAAGTAGAATAGCAGATAGTATTCAGGTAACTGTCATTGTTTTGATAAAATACCACGTAAAACACCATACAGGATTTCTAATTTCTACTCAATCATCATCTAGTGATACGATGTTGAATATAATTGCCCTTACAGAAGTTGCTCTTGCGCATTGGATTTTCGTAAAGTTTGGTTTCGCCATCTCATCTCCATGTATACAATCTACCATTAACGTTCGGTTCAATCGGTTCTTCATAGAAATCAATGTTTTCTGACGTCTTCAAGGTTATCAAGTAATGAGAAAACATACAATTGATCTTGTACGTAGCCTCATACAAAAAATACACACTGAGTGAGGTGTGGGGAATTGGCAGGCCAAGTAGAGCAAGGTTTACTGACCAAACTGGTCGGGGCACTTCATTCGAAGAAAGTTGAAACTTAATAAAGCACATTATCATAAATTCGTCTTCCATGAATCATGATATCCAATAAAAAATTGTTTGCTTCCTTTTTCGGTCTGGGAGTCTCAAAACTGCTTTGATATCCGCACTATATCAGCTCTTTCACTCTATTCAAATTGAAGATTGTCGATCCACTCGATCCTCAGAATCCTTGACCAACTCAAAAAATTGATAAAAGAGAAATTTGTGGACCAAGAAATTCAAAAGTAATTCTGAAAATAACAACTTGGATTACAGGAACCAGAATAATAACTTCCTGAAAGCCAAGATAAAAGAGTCTAGAAGAAAATATAAACAATAATTGCTAGCCACTTCTGCAGAGCAGTTTTATTCCTACATAAACAGATTTCTTAGTTCAAAACTTACACATTTCTCGCATTAGCCACTAACTGCCCCCTTGATGATAAGAATGAAGTTGCCAGTTTGTTTGCCAAACAGTTTCAGAGTGTTTTTACAAGAGAAGATCTTAGTTCTGTTCTTGAAATTGTAACTTTTACACCCGAGAAAGGATGAAATTCCTACCAGTTTCCTGAACAAGTGTGCTGCAGTTCTGTCATGATCATTCGGGACCCCTCAAACTCCATACACTAAATTATTCTGAGATTTGGAGCCGAAATCTATGAAAAAGGGCACTCAGAAAAATTGAAAAATTGATAAATCACCCCAAATTGCTTAACACGATTTTATCTCAGGAACTATAAGTCCAAATGAGTTGAAATTTTCAGGGATTGTAGTCCTCTAGTGGAATAAGAATCGCTGAAAATTTCAGCTTTCTATCTGTAATAGAAAAAAAGTTATGACTTTTCAAAGTTTTCCACAATCTAAATCATAAGGTAGGTAGGTACCTTCTTACTAAAACGATGAAATTTCAATTTTTTTTTTGTGTGTAGATTTTGTGTCCTAATGGTCATTTGTGATCCCCCAAACTCCATACACTAAATAATCCTGAGATTTGGAGCCGAAATCTATGAAAAAAGGCACTCAGAAAAATTGAAAAATTGATAATTCACCCCAAATTGCTTAACACGATTTCATTTCTTGAACTATAAGTCCAAATGAGCTGAATTCTCAGGCACTGTAGTCCTCTACTGGGATAAGAAACGATTAAAATTTCAGTTTTGTATCTCTAACAGAAAAAAAGTTATGATTTTTTAAAGTTTACAAAAATCTAAATCATAGTACCTTAGTAGGTAGGTACTAAAGTGATGAAATTTCAATATTTGTCATGTCCCCTCTCAGCCATGATAAACAATTTTCTCAGGTAGGGCAAACTACCAAGGGAATGGAAGAATGAAATTGCCTGAGAACTATAGGCCCATTAGCTTAACAAGCAGCCTTTGCAAATGCATGGAGAATGTCCTGGTATCTGAAATGACTGTATTATTGCTCGAAAATGGAATCATCCCACCTTCCCAACATGAGTTCCTTCCTGGAAGGTCCACATTTACGAAATGCTTACCAAGGTTCATGACTGGACAAGGGCAGATGATTCTGGCCCGTTTGTTGATGTATTTTACCTGGATTTTGAAAAGACAAAGTACCATTTGGACATTCTTCCATAAACTCCATCACTATGGTATAAGAGGACTTCTAATCAACCTAATCCAAAATTTTCTGCAAGATTGACCGTTCTGTGCCAGGATAGGGTCCATGAAGTCAAATTTCTGTGAAGCTGTTAGTGATGTCCCCCAAGGCTCAGTCTTTGGCCATCTACTCTTTTTTGCATATATATTAGTGACCTACCAAATGGATTGAGAAGTCAGATAACAAGAAACTCTGTAAGAACAGATGTACCTGGCTTTTGTGTAGAAATTTCTTGTCTTATCGAGTAAATCCACGGAGTTGGGATACTGTAAACCGCATCTTCAGTAAACCTACAACCTACCTGACTTGCTTGGAATTTGATAGTATCTATACCTACTCATTTATTCTTCACGATAAATGATTTTGACAGGAAATTTTCATGATATTCTTTTATATTTTAGTTACTCAGCGATTTAGAAGAACTTTTAGATACCACTACAGAAGACGATTACGATTACGACAAGCTAGATAATTGGAAATGGGTAAGAACTAAGAACTCCATTTTCAAATCAGAAAAGGTAGCTTCGTATTTCAGATACGTCAAATGTTTCGAGAATATCAAGCTGCTAGTCTAGACGTAGCCACGTATCGCTTATTGCGTGACGTCGAACATAATCTCAATCGGATCAACATTCCTACTGCCGACTTTAATTATCAAAGCGAACACGTCATATTGAGTATATGGCTTAGGGTGATGTTGCCTATACCGTTACCCAATCCTAGAAGGCCTCCAAAGTAAGAACTTATCAGTGCATTGGAAAAAATACCATTAAATACTGTTTTTCTAGGCCAAGGATAGACGTTAATTTTAGTTTGATGAATATGAGCATACTTTTTCCTATAACTATCGACTGTGAAAATGCAGCTATAAGAGCGATGTATCTGAAATATGATCATTTGAGTGATTTGAGTTTTACGTATAATATGCCTGAAGTTCCTTCGGATTATTATTTGGGTAAGTAATTTCTGGTTCCAGTGAAGTGATTTACTTCCAGCTCTTGCATCAGGTTCAGATTTATTTGCTTGTTTAGGTTGTTTGAGTCGTAGATGTTTTAGGCTCAAGATTGATGACGTTGACTTAATATTTTATAGATTGTTGCGAGGTAGTTTTTGCTTTTTCTTCGATTACCTTTTCAATACTTGAGAAAAAAGGCGAGTCATTATCATTATACTCATTACACGTTGTATATCTCAGATGTAGAAGAATATAATCCATTGCCTTTTCTGTTTATGGATTTGAAAAGTTGGAATGTAAAATTCCATCTGATGATGACTTATCATTAAAGCTTAAACAACATCCAGAAATAAAGTGGAAAGATGTTTTTCCCATCTATGTTTTTGGTGTTGGTATTCGGTTTCGGTGATAACATGGATCTGGTCAATAGTGGAGTGGAATGTTTAGAGAAAGTGGGTCAATAATCCCTGACATCACAGGGACACATTGAAAACGCCCCTAAGATTTCCACAAACATTTAATAGCGTCTTTCAAACGTTTGCTTGCGTGTTCGAGACATCTTAAAGACGTCGTATGTTACAAAGCCCAACGTCTTTCAAACGTCTGCCGGCCTAAAAACGTCTTTATGACATTTTTCCAAAATATTCTAAAGACATCTTCAACGAGATGTCTTAAAGAAGTCCTTGAATCTCTTATCAATAAATAATGTTTTTCCAGACTTACTAACCATAACTAAAAAAGAATGGCGCATAAGACTAAAATACAAATACAACAACAGAGACCGAACAATCATCAAGGTAACACCTGGAACCACAGTGGTACAACAATCACAGGAGCAAGTAGGCGAACCTGCAGAAGGAAATGTAGAGAATGTAGATCCTCAAACACAAACTGAAAAAGAAGATAAAAAAATCAGTAATGGAATACAAAAATGTATACAAAAATTATTTATAAAATAAACTAATATGTTCTAGCCCGAGTTCTAGCCTTTGAAGGTGTGGATGAAGAGTTTGGACCGGATGACGAAATTCCTATAGTTCCATTCAAAGTGCTACAGCCTTCAGCTGCTGAACATGCGGCCTCAATAGAAGGTTTTTTTTTATGAAAAATAAATTCTTCTTTCTTTGAAACTGAAATTTTCAGATGAGCTATATGCTGAAACCAGAAATAAAATTCAATTGGCTACACCTGAAAACGTAATAAACTTACGAAAATATGTTATTCTGGGAGGCGTTTTCCATCTGAATCTATTAGCGCAGCCACCTCAGCCGCAAGATTTTGTGACTATGGAAATGACAATCACTGGATGTAAGTACTCAGTGGCTGTGACAATTTAACCACTTCCCTGTGTTATAGTATATCTTCCAAAAGAACTTGAAATGATCCCGTTCGAAGTTATATACACTCCGTATATTCCTCCTCCTGAACCAGAACCAACCGCATCCAATCCAAATCTTAGAAAATTGCCTGAAGAACTTGAAGAAGAACAGAAAAAACAAGAAGAAGAACTTGATAAGTTGATATCAATTAATCTAAAGTAGGTAATTGTTAGGAATTAATTATTAACAATCAAATATATGATGGATTTTTTTTAAGATGGCCACAGCAGGTGATCTTTCTGGAATTGCCCATAGTGTGCAGGTGGGACGAAGAAGCTCTCCACTGGTCTAATGACGAAATTCACGACATCAAACATAACGAAGATAAATGCATGGTGAGTTTCAGAATTGGAGTGTTTGGTATCTACGCCTTGGCAGCCTATAGATATTCGAACTTTCCGTTTCAAGCTTACGACATCAAGCCTGAAGTAGAGTAAGGAATTTTGTTGAAATATTTATTTTATGCCAATGTTTTGTTTTTAAATAGTAATTCGGTAACTGTTCAATTGACCGCTGCCATTCTGATGCTGGAATTTAACGTGAAGGATGGTCTGATAGCGATTACGCAATTGCAGAATAGTCCGAACATGACTTTGCAAGATACTATTGGGAAATATATGAAGTTGCACAAGTTGAAAAGGGTAAGATCCAGGCGAGTAATAATTAAGTACCTATATGACAGTGGCCTTACAAGTTAATATAAAGAACTTCTTTAGAATATCCTGTAACATTTTAGATTTTAGGATATTGTTGTTAGATGCGATTTCCTAAATCCTAAGGATCTTTTCATTTGGGGTTTGGTCTCAAATCGATAATATCCTCTCTGTGCTATACTTTCTCAGTCGTTAGCAGACTTCAGGCTTCAGGTGAAATCTAAAACGGTTTTTTAATTCAATTTTCATTTCTAGATGATGCTAGAAGCTGGAATAGACATATTTCCCCAATTCGACTCGTTTTGTTACGTAGATGGTACGTATGTGGTAGATCCACAACAGCTATTTTTTCTTCGAATTGTAATTGATGGTTCTAGGTTCGTGTGAGAAACAATGGGCTATGGAGAAACATCTTTATTATAACATGGCTCTTATATCAAATTCGTTCAATTTTTCTTGGTCCAGATGGAATCAGCAAGCAGGACGAAGGAAAATTGTTATGCAAATGAGACATTACATGCCTGAGAAAGGAAAACAGGTATGATACATAGGTACCTACATCTATCAAACTATATGAGCTACTTTTTTTTTCGCAGAAAAATCATCAGATGTTAATGGTAACTCCTCTGCAAGCTACTTTTATAGAATGTACTGAAGTTAGTCAGACTTTTTCCGACAAAGAAGTAGAAGGCTTAAGGGTATATTATGCTTTATTTGTAGCCAAAAAATTTATTGTAATATTAATTTGTTTTAGTTTTGTGCAGATCTCTGGCACTTGATGACAATCACCAGCGGTATCTTTATAAAAAATAAAGTTAAAAAGGCGTCAAAGCAGACGGTTTATGCCCTTGCTCAATTTCTTATCGCCACAAGGATTTTAAGCTTTTCTTAATCTGAAATAAGAAAATTATATTGTCTTTAATATCTCAAAAAGATGTTGTTTCAATAATAATTATCAACATTGAACCATTGTTATAGCTAATAACATTTTCAGATACAGGGTGAACCAAAAATGGGGAAAAAGTTGAATCAATTGCCTTAGAAATAATCTGTCATGAACTTCTTTGAACTCGGAACAGCAACAGATATACAAGGCAAAAAAGAAAAAAGTGCGTTTCATAAAATCCTTATATTTTGTTTATTATAAGAGATACAATCAAGAGAGGGTACGTACGGAATAAAGTCCTACACGTGTCGTACTGGATTTAATGCAATGTACAACACAAAGGATGTTATAAAACGCACTTTTTTCATTTTTTGCCCTATATTGTGTCGAGTTCAAAGAAGTTGATGACAGCATTTGACTGCTTAACTTTTTACCCATTTGATCCTCCCTGTATCTTCAATGGTTTCCAAAATCCCCATGTAGGTACTTCAAGTTATTCGGAATATCCTCCTGTATAGTATCGAGGTCAAATAATTATCAGTAAATTTAAACCTCTAGATGAAACTGCGTGTTTTTCGAACGAAATGTTTAGTAAAAAATATAAAGTTAGAAAATATGTACAGGGTGGTCCATAGTCGCTCCTTGAGGTTTCCTCAGACCTTGAGAAAGACTTGAATGTTTAGAATTGACATGACTAACTTGTTAAATAGTAGTGAGTGTGCCTCCTAAACTCACAGCCTTCAAAGAAGATTCAAGGAATGACTATAAATTCGTCCCTATTTAATCATTGCTGGGCAGGTTATAAGTGTACTGATGGTGACGTCACAGCTAAATGGGGGCGAATTCAGCTTAAATCTTTCCGCTAGTAGTCCTTGATTTGTTATAGTTTCATCAGGTGGCGCTTCTGTTTGTGGATTCAGTTCACACTGAGTGCAGTTGTGTCCTTTTTTTGCCAAGATGTGAAAGCAAATTGTACAGAGAAATTATTTTTTTCTCCAAATGTCAAAAAAACGTCACTTTGTTAACCCCTGTCAAGATGTCAGAAATTTAATTTCTATGCTGCTAGGTAAATTCAGCATTCAGCGGGTACACACCTGTCGAGGTGGTAGAAGTTTAATTTCTATGCTGCTTGGCAACCCCAACGACAGCAAATGTATATTGTGTATTTAGGTGGAAAAGTGACACATTCTCGGCCGACGGTGTAAGTTGACGGGCGAGGCGTAGCCGAGGCCGGCAAACACCGAAGGCCGAGAATGTGCTTTTCTACCGAAATACACGTACTATTTTTTCTGCGATCGGTTAAATACCTGTTAAATTTTTGTCTTTTAGTTCCAATTATTCAGCAATACGAGAATCACTTTCCCGGCCTAGGCCGGAAAAGTGTTTCCCGTATTGTTATTCATTGATTCCTTGGCAACTATTGAAACATAATTGAAATACCAGGGACGAGTTCAGGAATGACACACTCAGTGTGAGTGTGACACCGGTGCGACGCACTAGCCGTTCATAAATGTTATAGGCACACCGAGTGCGCGCACTCTGTTCTGTTCAGAAAGTACTTCGGGCGCGCTCCAGGTGTCGCACCGCTCACACCATAATTTTTTGGTGTGGCTGCGGTGTGATTGTGTTTTTATGTCAACAATGTTAACCATTCCTCCCATAATCTCATTAATCCCACCAAATATAAACAAGATACAAATAGAATTAAGTTTTTTCTTCAAATTAAAAAAATGAACAACAAAAAAAAGTAATCTTATTACATTTGGTGAAATTTTTGAGGAGATGCTCGATTGGTCACACCAAGCGTTCAGAAATTCATACGAAAGTTGTCGCCTAAGAATTGTCATTTCAGTCACACCCATAAAATCGCACTCACACCCGGTGTGTTATTTCTGAACTCGCCCCAGAATATTGAGTTTTGCGACCTGTCAACCGGTCAAAAATGCTGACATTTCTTGTCAATCGCAGAAAAAGTACTTTTCCTACAGCCGTGCGGAAAAATCGATTTTCCGCACTGATATGCGTGCGGAAAATGAGTTTTCCCGCACGGTGGGGTAAAACTTTTACCGCACGCATATCAGTGCGGAAAAAGTTTTTCCGCACGGCTGTCAGTGCGGAAAATTTTTTACCGCACTGATCTGTCAAAAAAAAAAAAGAAAAATTTTACATTTTGACGCCTGTAGGAAAAATATTGTACCTAACACTTGCGGAAAATATTTTTCCGCACTCGGCTGCTTCACCGAACTCCGCTACGCGTCGTTCGGTGAACGGCGGCCGCGTGCGGAAAAATTCATTTTCCGCACTTGTTAGGTAAATAGCTATTACCTACAGCCGTGCGGAAAAATCGATTTTCCGCACTGATATGCGTGCGGAAAATGAGTTTTCCCGCACGGTGCGGTAAAACTTTTTTTTTTGACATATCAGTGCGGAAAAAGTTTTTCCGCACGGCTGTCAGTGCGGAAAAAATTTTACCGCACTGATATGTCAAAAAAAAAAAAAAAAATTTTACATTTTTTCGCCTGTAGGAAAAATATTGTACCTAACACTTGCGGAAAATATTTTTCCGCACTTGTTAGGTAAATAGCTATTTCCTACGAGCGTGCGGAAAAGTTACTTTTCCGCACGATTTTTCGTTTTGAAAGTTGTACTTTTCCGCACGATTTCACTTTTCCGCACTATTTTTTTACTTTTCCGCACGATTTTTACTTTTACTGAAAAGTGTACCCATATTAAAGTTCGGGGGCCCCCTATTTAGGGGGCGGAGCCCCGCGGTAACCCCCTATTTGGGGGCACAGTCCCGCGGGGCCCCATTTTTGAGGGGCAGAGTCCCGCTGTGGCCCCTTTTTGGGGGCGGAGCCCTGGGGGCCCTTTTGGGAGGGCGCGGTCCTGGACCCGTTTTAGTGGGGCGGAGCCCTGGGGGCCCCTTTTGGGGGGCGAACTCCCTTATTTGGGGGGCGGAGCCCTGCGGGAGCCCCTTAATTGGGGGCACAGCCCCGCAGGGCCCCCTATTTTAGGTGGCATAGCCCCGCGAGGGTGGGGGATCCTATCCATTTTTGTGGCTAATTTAGATATAGGCCAAGGATCATGATAAAGAAATCCGGTTCCATTATTTTTTTTTGTATAAAAAAATCGTGCGGAAAAGTAAAATCGTGCGGAAAAGTTACTTTTCCGCACTAGTGCTGAAAAGTTACTTTTCCGCACGATTTTTTTATTGCTGAAAATGAAGATATTTACCTTGCGTTCGGTATTTTGCTCAAAGAGCAGAGCGTGCTGAGCGGAGACGTAATCACGTGACCAGCGAGCGAACAGAGCAGTTGAACGCTGAATAAAAGTGTCAGAAATTTTAATAAACGAACGCGAATGAGGCTGCACCGTGTACACTTTTTAAATAAACGAACGGTAAAGTCAACCTCGGAGAACTCAGACCAAAATAACGAACGCACGGTTAGGATCAAATAAATGATTTATGTAACATATTATTTTATATTATGTGCTATTTTGTACCATCATTATAGAATCTTTGCGTATTGGAATAGTATATTACATACCCGTGGGCCGAAAGTAAAAGTCAAAAAATTCAATAAATTTTAAAAATTTCATTTACTTTCGGCCCACGGGTCGAAAGTAAACTTTCGACCCGTGGGCCGAAAGTAAAAGTCAAAAAAGTGACATTTTCGAACTTTTTAAAAGTCAGTAAAGTCAACATTACATGTATGATTGTAAATAAACATTTTTTTTGATAAATAAGATGGACAAAAACACTCGTAGGAAAAATATTGTACCTAACTCTTGCGGAAAATGTCTTTTCCACCTTTCCACCCTCGACGGCTTGCCCGAACTCCGCTCCGCGTCGTTCGTGCAACTGCCGTCTCGTGCGGAAAAGTACCAGTTTCCGCACTTGTTAGGTAAATAACTATTTAGTGCCGCTCGTACTTTTACTTCCGCTCAACCATCCACTTGCCCCCGAGCCTACCCCATTCGTTTGGAGAAAAATAGCGTGTTGCATACGGAGTAGAAGCACTTTTGTACAGCTTCTACTCCTAATACAATATACTATTTTCTGAGATTGACAAGAAATGTCAGCATTTTTGACCGGTTGACAGGTCGCAGAACCCAATATTCTGGTATTTTAATTGTGTTTCAATAGTTGCTAAGGAATCGATGAATAACAATACGAGAATCACTTTTCCGGCCTAGGCCGGGAAAGTGATTCTCGTACTGCTGAACAATTGGAACAAAAATACAAACGTTTAACAGATATTTAACCGATCTCAGAAAAAATAGTATGTGTATTTCGGAGAAAAGCTTTCGATGTTTGCCGGCCTCGGCTACGCCTCGCCCGTCAACTTACACCGTCGGCCGAGAATGTGTCACTTTTCCACCTAAATACACAATATACTATTCTTGCACTGGAGCAGCATACGTGAGTTTATACCTGAGTTAAGAGCAGATGGATGTCTTTAAAAAGTTTCTTCTCGTGAAAACGTTTCCTGCACTAAGACAATGTCAGTGCAGAACCAGGTGTTGCACCTGCTCTCACTACTGGGTTTGTACCATCCTTGCGTTCGGTATTTTGCTCAAAGAGCAGAGCGTGCAGAGCGGAGCCGTAATCATGTGACTAGAGAGCGCACAGAGCAGTTAAACGCAGCTGCCGGATTCTATTTTTCGAGTCGAGTCGTAATTCGTATCGATTTGTCAAAATAGCGATTCTATTTTACGATATTTCGATACCTATTACACGGTACGTCCGGAACTATCGTATTCGATATCGAGACAATCCGACTCTACTTGTTAAATAGAATCAGGGGGCAGGTATCACAGAGGCTCGAAATTTTAAGCCGCTTTCCAGCTGTGTGCTTGAAGCACGGTGCAGCACAGTGTTCTGTGTTTGAAACGCAAAGGTTAGCAGCTCTCGAAGCGCAGTACGGCTGGAATACGAACACGCGCTTGAAGCATTTGCGCGCGCAAAAGCTCGATTGCGTGCTCAAAAGCGTCAGCTGGAAAGCGGCTTTAATAAACGAAAGTGAAACGAGCCTGCACCGAGTACACTTTTTGAATACACGAACGGTACATTTTTGCTCGGAGGACTCAGATGATTGCTGTCAAAAAATATACAATACACAGACAAATTTCTGATATGCATTTCAAATGCGATGAGAAAGATCGAAATGTAGGGGTCCTGGCCGTCCTGCTGTTCAAATCCCAGTCGAGACAAGAAAAAATGTTTCATCAACTTTTAATTTATGCGTCTGCATGCCACTAAAATTAACACTCTTTAAATTATATAACAGACGATAAAAACTCTAAAAAAATTGAAATTTAACTTTGTCAAAAAGTGTTCTGATAATGACGTCACAGCTAACTAGGACGAATTCAGCTATAAACTTTCCGCTAGTAGTCCTTGATTTCTGATAGTTAGGTGACGCTTCTTTTTGTAGATTTAGTTGATACGGAGTGCCCTTTTTGCCAAGATGTGAGAGCAAATCGTACAGAGAAATTATTTTTCTTGCACTGGATCAGCAAATGAAAGCTAATTTAAGAGAGCAGATGGATTTATTATGCCTCGCACAGCAATCACAAACCAGTCAAAGCGAATTTCATTGGTTGAAAACAGTCAGGAACAGTCAGAAAATTAGTTTCAACCAATAAAATTAATTCTGACTGGTTTATGAGTTTTGTGCGAATCTAGTGCAAACAAACCTATTAAAAGTTTCTTCCTCGAGACAACATTTCCTGCACCAGGACAATGTCAGTACAGAACAAGTGTTGCACCTGCTCTAATTACTCTAACTCTAGAAATATACACGAGTTTTATTTGTATCTGCGAGACCTACTCTAAGGTTCACTTTCCACTGATCAGGACATGTTCGATAACTTCAAATGCGGTATAAAAATCACTCAGTACAAAGAACTATTTTTTCGAACGCACTCCAGCCAACCAGTGAAACGTCAAACAGCAATCTATCTATTGACGTTTCGTCATTCATTAATCATTTCTATACCTAAAAATTATTAATATTATTATTACATTTTTGTTTTTGGCATCACAAGTAGCCTGCGAGCAATTTACTAATTATTGTTGATAAGTCGTCATTCTAAATTTACAAGTGTACGTTTCAATTTTCTCATCACTGTGCGCCTGTTTTGGAATAGAAAATATCTGTACGAGGAAAAAGGTAAGGGAACAGACATTTTCACTTTTGTTTTCTTTATTTTCGATTGATTTTTTTCAATGAGGAATTTTCCTAAATCGAATTTCAAGTTTCGATACAAGTTTACATGCTCTGTGCATTATTAACATCCTAAACTTGCTGAAAATGCATTTAAAAAAAATTGTTTCCTTTTCAAATTATTGGATTATTAGATAATTGAAAGCTGCAAATGTAAACTTTGGACTTCACCTCAGCTCTTTTTGGAGTATTCTATAATTTATCACAAGTTAATAGCAGGTGTTAAGCTTTGAAAATCAATTACACATAACAATGTTGAAAGTTTATTCATTTTCCTCTCGATTTTCCTTATCGATTAACAAGTATGGCTTTGCTTTGTCTTGGTTCCAATCAGAATAAAGATCGTCAAAATGAGCTGAAATTTTCAGTGATTGTAGTCCTCTACTGGGATAAGATTCACTAAAAATTTCAACTTTCTATCTTAGATAGTAATGAAGATAGTATGGCTTTTCAAAGTTTTAAAAAATTTATCTTCAAAGGTATTGTATCTACATAAGTATCTCTGTATGTTACTTTTCAAGAGACTCATTCATTTATAATATCTCCATGATTCTAATGCCATAACATTTGGAGTTTAGTTTATTCATTAAATTGTCTGATCTTATCAATAAAACTGTGCTCCACTTCACTCCAAATCCATTTTCATTTAGTTAAAAATAGGTTTTAAAATTTTGTGTATTTAAGTTTTGGCAAGGATACAAACTCTGATACAAACAATCTAAATTCATAGAAATCTTTTTGTTTAGATTTACAAAATTCAACTAAACACTTGAGTAGGTTTTATCTGTTATTTTGGTTTGGCTTATTCAAGGTCTAGTGGATTTTAGACTACTTTAGGTTCCAGTCTACTAAGCTTATTTGATTGTGTTGTGGTCTATTTTAGTTCCTTTTTTAAGGTTTGTGTCATATTTATTTTAACACCAATATACTTAAGTATAATAGTTTACTAGCAGATAACAGATCTTTAAAAGAATTTAGGTACAGCAATGCAATAATAATTAAAACAATGTCCAACAAAAACTCAGAATACTATAGAGCAAAGGGTAAACCACCATCCCAGAATTTGTGCAAACAATTCCTCAAACAGGAATTTTCTCGGGAATTTTTTATGCATAATTCCTCAAAATTCCTGCCAATTCCTCCAAATTCCCCACATATTCCTCCAGATACCCCATCACAAATTGCTCCAAATACCTCACCACAAATATCTCCAAATACCCTACAAATTCCTCTAAATTCCCTGCAAATTATATTCCTCCAAATTCCCTACGAACTCAATTCCTCCAAACTCTCGCAAATTCCTCCAAACTCCTCTCAAATTTTCCACAAATGTCTCTAACAAATTCCCTGAAAATCCCCATAACTGCTTGTGATAAGAAATTTCTCGAGAAATTTATTTTTTCTATTTTTATTTCACTTAGTAAAAATACAAGTATGATTGAGAATTGAGAGTAGTTTTCCTGGAAAACTAGTGAAAGAAAACATTTTAAACTTTTTATATGTAAAGAGGAAGATGAAAAGCTCATTTTCCCAAAATTTCAAACTTTTCCAGTGGAAAACATTAACATGAAGAATCTTGGAAATCAAAGTACAAAAACTGAATTAGTTTCTAAAGAGAAAGGCGAGAAGCTCATTTTCCCAAAATTTCAAATTTTTCCAGTGGAAAATAACAACATGAAAAATCTTGGAAATTAACCTGTCAAAAATTGAATTAGTTGATAATACTGTCTCACACATTTCAAATTTTTCCTGGAAAACTAATGAAAGGAAAAATTTGAAAATTTTTGCAAGAGAAGAGGATGGTTAGAAGTTCATTTTCCCAAAATTTCAAATTTTTCAAGTAGATAATAACAACATGAGGAATCTTGAAAATCAACCTACTTACAATAACTGAAATACTTACCTAATTGAAAATACAGTCTCACACATTTCAAAGTTTTCTTGGAAAACTAGTGAAGGGAAATTTTTGAAACTTTTTGCATGTAAAGAGAAAGGTGAGAAGCTCATTTTCCCAAAATTTTAAATTTTTCCAGTGGAAAATAACAACATAAACAATCTTGGAAATCAACTTACAAAAAAAGAAATAATTGTTGAATACAGTTGTTAATACAGTCTCAAACAATTCAAAGTTTTTCTGGAAAACTAATTAAGGGAAAATTTTTACATGTGAAGAGGAAGGTCAGAAGCTCATTCGAGGGCTCATTTTCCCAAAATTTCAAATTTTTCCAGTGAAAATAACAACAGGAAGAATCTAGAATCAGCCTCCAATAACTGAATTAATTGAAAATACAGTCTCACACATTTCAAAGTTTTCCTGGAACACTAGCAAAGGGAAAATTTTGAAAATTTTTGCATGTGAAGAGGAAGGTGAGAAGCTCATTTTCCCCAAATTTCAAAATTTTTCCATTGGAAAATAACAACATGAAGAATCTTGGAAGTCAACTTACAAAAACTGAATTAGTTGATAATACTGTCTCACACATTTTAAAGTTTTCCTGGAAAACTAGTGAAAGGAAAAAGTGTAATTTTGGGAGAACGTTCAACAAAAAACTAGATGTTTTTTTAAATTTCCATTTATTAGTGTTTTTTATATTAAGAACGAGTGACATCATGAGTACAATTTCCTTTAAATTCCTCATAAATTCCTTACAAATTCCTCCAAATTCCCTATAAACTTCTCCAAATTCCCTATAAACTTCTCACAAATTCCTCTAAATTCCCCACATTTTTGGCAAAGAATTCCTAGGTGGTTTTTCCCTTGTTATTGAGTATGTATCAAACATTAGAAAGTTTAAAAATTATAATTCTTCTATGACTTTTGGTAAAAATATAGTAGAAATTTGTATGATAAATTACAACATAAATATTCGAGTTCAATAAATATCATTATCAACAAAGATTAGATTCAGCAATTTAAATCATGTTTATGTAAAATTAAAACCGTGATAATGATAAATACACCTAAGTCATCAACAACTCTAATAATATTTTATTATCACAGACAGAAAAATCTTCTGTTGCCTCACATTTTCTTGAGTAATTACCATATAGTCAATAATTATTTATTTTGCTTGTTTCAGAGCAAAAACCAGCCTTCTATAATTGAGGAATCATCATGTCGCAGTCGCATTACAGCGATGCCGAGGACTCGCTCACTGATACTGATAACAGCGGATTGAGAAAAAGGAAACTCTGGGACCCTGAAACCGAGTCCATAACTTCGGAAATAAAAGATCTTTTAGATGATGATGTGAACTCTTTGGTAAGTGAAGTGGAATCTTTTGAGGTAAGTATGTAGAGTTTTTGATTTTTTTATTATGAGCTACTGAAGAAGAATTCTCGGAAGAATTATTCAGATATTTTCCAATGTCAAGCAAAGGTATGCAAAAAAGATGGCTCAGAATTATCAATCTACAAGTTGAATAATGACTGACATAAATGTTCCTAAAAACTCATGCAATTTGGAATGATTTCACAGAGCCAGATATTATATGGATTGGTTTCTTCATAACTCAGTTCGATCAACTCCAATGAAATGTTTAATTCTTTTATTTCCAATTTTCTAATGGCAATTATCATAATTTGAGTATTTTCAAATATTTTGTCCTGAACTCATTGACTATTCTTATTATCGCAGTTTGCAGTTATGATTGCATTAAATTACCACATCCGGAACAAAATGCACTCTGTAATAACTGTCAACAATCTTTCTTTTCATTAATTAATTATACTAGGCTCTTGAAAATCAATTATTTTGTCAGTTTCTAATTATTCATGTGCCTGATTCAATGAAATTCGCAAACGCATATCGCCTCCTAATAATTATTATTTGACGAACTAATTGATAGTGTATTTTGTTGTGACGTTAATAATTATTTAATAACTATCCATTTTGTTAGTTTGGCAAACATTTTATATTGCTGATTTTATGATGGCCTATTGACCTTGTATCGTCATTTTATGTTGTGTTTATTGATTTTTCTAAACTAATTAGTATAGAAAAGGAAAATTCCACTATTTATAGGCGTCATTTGTAAGGTGTTTGGGTTACTTTCCAAATTATTACGTACGCCTGAAATATATTTTTTTAACCTGCTGCTGCATGTAGTTACTTTCGAGTGGAAAAGATTGCACAATTTTGTTATATGGCTTTTGCATTACACGATACCTAAATTGTATAATTGATGATTTTGTTGGCATTGGTCCTAGTAAAATGAAACTATAGTACATATTTCTATACTTTGATCTATATGCCAATTAATAATAAATATTGTAAGGATTACTATTGATAGATTTTCTTGAACCTTGAACTTGTAATGGAATAGAAATTCATTTACAATTAGATCTTGTATTTTTCCATTGTGGAATAATCCAATTTAAGTGTGTCTGTAATGAATGTCAAAATTACATTTATATACTTTCAGTATAAAATTTGAGGTAGCATTAAGATCTGATTTGTATTGGTGTCAGTAAAATTTCTAATAAAATTAGAAAGTAAATTAAGTGTTTGTTTGTCCTGCTTTACTGTTAATTCAAATATCGCTATTACTGGTTTGTGATGTTTGCACTTATGGACCATAGAATCTGTATTATTATTTCCTTGTTTTTATTATATGAAAATTTAAAAGAAATCTCCAATCACTACAATAAAATTTCTGTCAGCATTATTTTAAACCATCTCGTCATAATCTAGCAGTTAACTTTATCTGTGAAGTGGATTACTTTGTATTTTACATACTTAGGAGGGATTGTAACAAACTACAAATTATACATAAGTGATAGTAAAATTCTGTTTTGGGGCTTCATTCATTATCAGGTATTCCTGAGGAAATGTTTCTGGCCAAAAAAAAGGAGTCAAACGGTTGAAATTGCTAATCTTTTTGGTGTTTATTTTTTCTCCGTCTATAACTCTCAGATAAATTTTGCTGAGTTATTGGGAAACTCGTTGGGATATCAAATTCATTTGAAATTGTCTAGCACTCAATGTTGCCTGAAACTTAGTCTTAAGGCAAATACACAACTGTTTTGTTTGAAAGGTATGATATGCGATTTCTGGGTTAGAATGAGATGATATTCCTAGCAATTATCACATCATTCTCAGCGATTGCCAATGGATTCCTATGTGATTCCCATGGAGTCCTAGGAGATTCCTAGCAATTCCCAGGGATTCCCAAGTGATTTCCATGTATTCCTACACTGTCCCTATTCTTGAAACAGGGGAGCAGCGTTCCCAGGAGAACCGGTGTTCTATCTTTCTCAACGATATGCAACTGATAATATTAGTGACAAAGACGGAACACTCGTTCTCCTGGGAACGCTGCTCCCCTGTTTCAAGAATAAGGACACTGCTGATTGATTACTAGGTATGTGATTCCCAAAAAAATTTAGGTACAATGATTTCCACTAGTGGTTTAACCCTCGATCAATGTATATCTTTCTTCTCTTTTCCATGCATTCTCTGGGGTATTCTAAGGCACTCACTTGGCCTCCTTCTATTCAGTTTGTTTATCAATGATCTAGCTCTCCTCAAATTTCTTACTTTTTGCTGATCACTAGAAGTGACGTCAGCTCATGACATACTTATTCTTCAAAACGAGCTTAACATGTTTATGATATTGGTGTCAGCTTAATGACAATGATAAGTATCTATTGTTGTATTAAGATTCAGTATAGACTTACCTGTAAGGTTCCTTCTCAATATTGCTCAAATAATGTTCGCTTGTCTGAAGTTTCTTTCATTAAAGATCTTGGTGTCTAAGAAGATACTAGGGTAATGTTCACTAAGCATTTTGAAGTAGTAATTGACAGGGCTAATGAAATGTTGGGTTTTTTTTTTAGAGAGATACTAGGGACTACAAGTATAGGCCCCATCCAAATTCTACTTAGATCCGTTCTTGAATTTTCATGCATAGTTTGGTCACCTTTGAGTTCACATCACTATCCAGATACATATGAATAGGCTTGATAGTGTTCAACACAAATTTATCAAGTTTGCAAGGTACGAACTTTCTTTAAGTTGTGTGATTCTCAATGATGACCAAAGTATTGGTTACTTGGACTTAACTACTCTTGTTCGCAGAAGGGAAGGGAGTACTTTGATGTCTGTTTTACTTTTAATATTCTTAACTACTACATAAATAGCCATGAATTTCTTGAATGTGTTTATCTACACACTCAAAGTTCTAGGACAAGAAGTAAATCTCTACTGTCGAACTTGGTACTTACTATTTAGTCCTGTTAATAGAATATCTGCCAATGTAAATAAGTTCTATAAGAGTCTTGATTCCTTTAGTTTATCTCAAGATAAATTTAGGACGCAGGTAAAAAAAAATATTTTAGACGAGGGGTGTTTCACCTCCTACATTTTGTACATCTACTGTATTTGACTGCATTGATTGTATCAAAGATGATAGTTGACTGCATTGACTTTTGAGCAATATCTAACAGATTGCAGGCTCCACTCGCAGTGACTGCTTACGATTTTTCGCATGTTTATATGGAATGTACGTTACTGCATGTGACTGCACGGAATTTATAACGATAGCAAGCGACTCTGTATTATGACTGCATGCCACTGTGTTATGACTGCATGAGTCCATGTATTCCATTGACTGCATGAGTTCATGTATTCCATTGACTGCATATACATGAATGTATAATATTTGTACACCTACTGCATGAGTGAAACACCCCTCGGTTTTAGATTTGATTATTTTAGATTTAAACTCTGTACAACTTTAAATGTATGTATTTTTTATACGTAAATAAATAAATACATAAATAATTGAAATTTGTCCACCCTATTGCTATAAAAAGCAAAAGTTATTACAGAACTAATTTAAATACACTTTTGAAAAAGTAAGTGTAATTTTCACCAATTGCTCATTGGCAGGCTTCGATGTTTGGTCTACATTATAATTAAAATTGCCACAAAAAATGGCCATCAAACACCGCAGGATTCAGGATTTTTGTAATTTGATTACGCAGTAAAAATTGACAAAAAAAAAACCTGTAACCTTGATATTGGATAAAACCGAGGATAAAACAGGCCAATTTTTCTAATTAGTGTCACACCTATTGTTATTCTGTCTCCAACTAACTAATCAATACAAATTATTCGTAAATTAACTTCAGACAAGGCTGGGCACGCTAATGGGTGACACGTTTATATGCATAGTTAATTATATTATTTGTACCAATTTTGACTTTCTTCTCAGCTGCTCAGACTGGGATTCACATCTATTGATTTCGTTAGGAAAAAATATCAATTAAAATTATTATTTTCCGTTTTTTAGGTAGAAGAAGACTGCATAGGTTGTCCACTTCCTTCTACTCCTGAAGACGAGAATGTTTTGGATTCGGAAATGAGTGACGTACTCAAAGCGGCGGTTTTAGGTACAGGTAGTTGGCTAGCCTTCATTCATTATTACATTATGTTTGAATTTTTTCCAACCTCTTACAGATTTAAATTGTACGGCAATGGATTTTTTTGTTTGAACTGCATTATTGCTATTTTGCAATTATGTATATTCTAGAAAATGCTAGATAAACTATATTTTTTTATCTAGAAACAACATAAAACAAAAAAGAATGAGGATTTATTCACTTTACTGTACAAATCTTGTTGATATCAGCATTTTCCTCTATAGCCAGACAACTGTTTATTATTGAGAAGTGACTCCATATGGTGGACGATTTCATAGATTTGTATTTAAACTTGAACGAATGATGATAATTTATATCTATAATTGCTCATTGGTTGATTCACGCTTTGTTTTGATAACGCTTCTGGGAAAAAATATTTTAGTAAGATTATTTAAATATACATACCTATAGTTCTTACTAACTATTTTTCAATACATATTCCAATACACATCTGGCAAAAATCACACAAAAGTAATAAAGAAAGTGGGCTTTTCTCTTCGGCCAATCAAGAACCAGTCCTTGTTAGCTAACATCAACCTCAGAACACAATCTAAGGTTCTTGTTAACTAACCAGAACTTAGACGATTGCACTTAGTCGCTCTCAAATTATAAGAATAAGTAAAATAAAGATAGATATTTTTATTTCTCGAGAACATAAAAAATATCTAAAAGGAACAGGGGTAATGAAGAGTTTAGGATATACCTTCTACAGGTCAAAAATTAAATTTCAAATTGTTGGCGATTTGGTAATATCTCTTTTGTATGTATACCAGAGCTAATTTTTCTCGAGAAACCCCTGGGGGTCAATTCTTGAATATTCTCGCATACGTAAGTGGATTCAAATTCGAACGACAGCAACGTAAATTGAATAGGAAACATTCGAAATCATATCAATTTTCGTATGCGAGATAATTCAAGAATTGGGGGCCTGGTATATGGATAAAATGGAAAATTATCATAAGAGAGACACTGTCAATGAATAGTTTGTCATAGTGATGTCAAAATTCCAGTGAACAGAACATTTTTAAAAACTATTTAAAAAGTTCCAATACAAAGTAGACCATGTAGGTATATTACAATGCACTTATCTCAGTGTCTTATGCCAAATGTGTATCTAGAAAAATGTAATCCAAAAACATTTATACTTAACCTTAACATGCTTGTGTAATTTTAATGGTAACAAGACTCACATAGAACAACTTGCATTTCTACTAATTCTATTATTATTTTGTTATTTTCTCATGCCTCATGCCTTCGTAATTTATTAGAAACCGTCTATAATGTTAAGTATAAATTTGTGACAGTGCCGTTTTTTTTTTCTCTTTTTTTTTCTACTCCGATCTTCCGCCAAAACCAAATCCGCAACGTACGTACTGTAGCCGCCTTGTTGCCGAAATTTTCAGGCGACGAAATGGACATAACGACGCTGGCGCAGAATGCAGCGACCCAGGCGGAACAAGTGGTGAGGAAGATGATCGCTGTCGGATGGAGTGTGTGTCATTTCCATCATTTACCTGATTGGTTGCAGGTAAGTAGCAATCTTGTCTTTGAAAGCTGGCTGAAACTTGTAATTCTCTGATGTGGAAATGCTTTTATACTGGAAAAATATATTCAATCATGATGATTCTTTTTGCAGGACAACGACTTTTTGCAAAGAGGCCACCGCCCGCCACTGCCAAGTTTTAGAGCATGCTTCAAAAGCATTTTTAGAATTCACACCGAAACTGGTAATATATGGACTCATATGCTTGGATGTGTGGCATTTATAGGTAAAAGCTTCGATTTCCTAATTATGATTCGAGTTCAAACAAAATTGTGTTTCATAGGTATTGCAATTTATTTTTTGATGCGTCCCACTTTGGAAATTGAAGTACAAGAGAAAATCGTCTTTGGGGCCTTCTTTGCCGGCGCGATTATTTGTCTAGGTTGTTCTTTTGTGTTTCACACTGTCAACTGCCACTCGCAATTTGTGGGGAAACTGTTTTCGAAGCTGGATTATTGCGGTATAGCTTTGCTGATTATGGGCAGTTTTGTTCCATGGCTTTATTATGGGTTCTATTGTCATTTTAAACCAAAGGTAAAGAAGCCAAATAGCAATGCTTCATTTACAATTTGGTATTTTTAGGTCATCTATCTGTCTGTTGTCTGCGCTCTTGGTATTACTAGCATAATGGTGTCGTTGTGGGATAAATTTTCCGAATCGGGATGGAGACCTTTCCGTGCAGCCGTTTTTATGACTTTTGGATTGAGCGGAATTATCCCTGCTATTCATTTTGGAGTTGTGGAAGGATGGTTTAATCATGTCAGTCAGAAATCTTTGGGATGGCTAATACTGATGGGAGTAAGTGATTTCTTTTAGCTTAAAGTACCAGCACAGATCAAAACTGAATGACATCATAGAAGAAACCCTATCAAATCAACTAAAATAAAAACAATTATTCTTTTAGGTCCTCTACATAGTTGGTGCAATGCTGTACGCTCTCCGTGTCCCGGAGCGCTGGTTCCCAGGCAAATTCGATATTTGGTTCCACTCTCACCAAATCTTCCACGTGTTTGTACTAGGCGGCGCTCTAGTGCACTATCACGGGATTTCTGAAATGGCCATGCACCGAGTGACTATCGGCCAGTGCGAAATACCCGATCAACTGATTTATTAAGACTAATAAGAGGCATACCTAATAACATCGGGAAACTAAAGATACATGCATACAAAATTTGATAGAGGATGGTTGGAGTTTGGTGCAGATAGATTATGGAAAAATAAATTAATAACTGCAAATTTTATACTATTGGTTTTTGGTGAAAAATAAAATTACCTCTTTGAAAATTTTGAATTTTTCTATTTACAGGGTTGCAAATCTTTCTAAATTAAAATCAAACTGAAAGTTTCTCGTCTACCCTGTACTAGTAATAATAATAATATTAGAGCTGGAAAAATTAAGTATGTATTTATAGAAAAAAAATATAAAAAAACAAAAAATACAAAACATATATTTTGCTATTTATACGATATAAAGACTTCCAAATGCAAGGGTTGTTGTTCAATGTTGAAATCATTTTGTAATGACCCGTGTTTTTAATTTCAAAAAAGTATTCTACGCCCAGAGGTCGATAGGTTTGTGAATTGATTCTGTTATTATTATGTTTTTTGACTATATCATCACTATTTTTACAATAAAGCATATTTTGGTTGATTTTTCATTAAATTGGATATTCTAGTTGTTCAGATTGTTGCAGTCAAATTGTATCAATAAAATGACTATCGACTTCCAGGCAATAATAATAAATAATATGTGGTAAGATGATGTGTAGTGATATTAACGAATATAAATAAATTATTTAATGGTAAATATAAATATGTATACTAAGTGTTAATTCTTTCTTTGTTATTTAAATAATTTACTTTAGTACCTGGTATTTTGTTTAATGTTCATGATACTACAATTTTTCTTGTTTCAGTGCAATTTCTCTTGAGTTCAATTTTAGACATAATTATTATAAATATAAATTATTAGATGGGTGTTTGCTTGGTTTTCTACTTGAATGTTTGTTTTTCTTGCAGCGATTTTGGATTAACTAAAGGAATAAATATTATGGGATCAAAATAATACAAAAATATCTACTTATTCCTATCAATGACAATGGCTTTGTTAGTCTTAATTGGTCATTGTCTATAACAATAATAGTTATGGCTAGCAATAGACTAGGATTTTGGACTATTCCCTATATTAATCCAATTTCAAGTTAGTTTTAGATTCTAATTTGTAAATATCATAATTATTATTAAAACGCCTTTTTAAATCGAACGCGCCAGCAATGCAACTTTATTTTTAACTTTTTTTTGGGTTGAAAACTGTCAGTCTGAGATTGTTACTTGTTTTGAGATGTCTTTTGAAAGAACCTGTCATGTTATCAATAAAAATTCTTATCAAAATTATGAGTAGTTTTGCTTTTTGTTTCAGGATCTTCAATTTTTTTTTTTCTATTTTTTAAATTAATAAATTGTCCTAATTTTTCTATTCCAGGCTCTAGACGTTCCTTTTTTTTTAAAAAAGAAAGACAAAAAGTTAAGAACTTGATTATATAAAATTGATAAATTACCCCAAATTGGTTATCACAATTTTATCTCAGGAACTATAAGCCAAATGAGTTGAAATTTTCAGAGATTGTAATACCTTCATTGGGATAAAATTCAGTGAAAGTTTCAGCTTTCTATCTATAATAGAAAAAAAGTTATGACCTTTCAAAGTTTTCCAAGATGTAAATCATAAGGTAGAGAGAGGTACCTTCTTACTAAAACGATGAAATTTCAATTTTTTTTTGTTGAGATTTTGTGTCCTAATGGTCATTTGGGATCCTCCAAACTCGATACACTAAATTATTCTCAGATTTGAAGCTGAAATCTATGAAAAAAGGCACTCAGAAAAATTGAAAAACTTGTAATTCACCCCAAATTGCTTAACACGATTCTATCTCAGGAACTCTAAATCCAAATGAGTTGAAATTATCAGGGATTATAGTCCCTTCATTGGGATGAAATTCAGTGAAAGTTTCAGCTTTCTATCTATAATAGAAAAAAAGTTATGACCTTTCAAAGTTTTCCAAGATCTAAATCATAACTAAAACAATGAGATTTCAAATTTTTTTTTGTTGAGATTTTGTGTCCTAATGGTCATTTCGGATCCCCCAAACTCTATACACTAAATTATACTCAGATTTACAGCCGAAATCTATGAAAAAAGGCACTCAGAACAATTGAAAAACTTGTAATTCACCCCAAATTGCTTAACACGATTTTATCTCAAAAACTATAAGTCCAAATGAGTTGAAATTTTCAGGGATTATAGTCCCTTCGTTGGGATAAAATTCAGTGAAAGTTTCAGCTTTTTATCTATAATAGAAAAAAAGTTATAACCTTTCAACGTTTTCCAAAATCTAAATCATACCTTCTTACTAAAACGATGAAATTTCAATTTTTTTTTTGTTGAAATTTTGTGTCCTGATGGTCATTTGGGATCCCCCAAACTCGATACACTAAATTATTCTCAGATTTGAAGCTGAAATCTATGAAAAAAGGCACTCAGAAAAATTGAAACATTGTAATTCACCCCAAATTGCTTAACATAATTTTATCTCAAGAACTATAAGTCCAAATGAGTTTTCAGGGATTATAGTCCCTTCATTGGGATGAAATTCAGTGAAAGTTTCAGCTTTCTATCCATAATAGAAAAAAAGTTATGACCTTTCAAAGTTTTCCAAAATCTAAATCATAAGGTAGGTACCTACCTTTTTACTAAAACCATGAGACTTCAAAAAAAATTTTGTTGAGATTATGTGCCTTAGCTCCCTATCACACACACCGAATGACACCAAAAACCTAGTATTAAACCATGCCTCCATTAAAAAAAACTCAGAGACAACTACAAGAAAAGATTAAGACTACTCCTCAAAGCCCATTTAAACTCGAGAAACCGGTCAATGCCTGTCCTTACCTACTCCTTCGGGATAACTGAAGGGTCCACAACAGACTTGAAGAATTTACATATTCTAACGAGATCACAATTGACAAAACACAGGAAATTACATACAAATTCCTGCAAGGAAAGAATAACATTGAAACGAGACCAGGGAGGTAGAGGAATGACAAACCTTCACGAACTGCATGCTATAAGCAGAATGACACACTGAGGACGTAGGTACTTCCATAGTAGAGATCACCCATTACACAGTAGTAAAAATTCACAAAAACTATACACCCCTTAACCCTCAACCTATTAACTTTAGGAACCTGGGATCAGGAGCACATCGATAAAAACTCAACATATGTGTTCCCAAAAAAGGGCCAGCTCCACCATGAGACAGAAGAATTCCTCCTGGCAATACAGGATCAAGTAATAGCCATTCAAAACTATAGAAAATATATCAAAGGATGGCTATGTGAAAAACGACAAATGTAAACAATGCCAACGGCTTCCCGAAACAATAGATCACATAATATCTGGGTGTGAATTAAGGATACCTAAAATAAAAAACACTCTTATTGATTTTGTCGACTTCTCTATTCATTTTTTAAATAGTACATTGTCCTCAATATAACTGAGATTTTGTTTTAAATATATTTACAATAAACCGTTCTACTAAAGGATTTTTTTTTTGTACATAGAAATATAATTATTTACAAAAGTGACCTATTTACACCCAGTGTGTTAAAAACTAAACTATGTACAATATAATATATTATTAAATCTTTCTCTAACACTCACACATAAAAATGTTTTACATACCAGTCCATGTTTGTTTGCCGAAATCGGGTACAAGAATTTTGGTCGATTTTTGGTTCAAGGAAAATTTCGATTGTGGAAAATTTAATTGAAAGACGTTTTGTAATGATATTGATAGTTTCATCTTGTACCCGATTTACTTAAAAATTAAATAGAATAATAAACAATAATTTTTTTTAAATCTTACAACTAGAATTGGATTTTTTTTTTGGACTTTTGGACCTTTGGCAGGATAGATTTTGAGGCACTTCACATTACACTGGGAATTTTGCTTGGATGGATGAGGCTAGCTTTCAAAATGCCTCTATCACATTAAAATTAAATAGTTTTGGTTCACTTTAGCTGGATTTTTTTGTTGTAGAAAAATAATAATTTTGCTTAATGAAAAACTAGCCTCTTTAAGAAAGAATTTCTTTCTAAATATATTCTGCAGGGTATTATTCAAATCCCTGGTATATTTTATAGTGTGAAGTATCAAAAGTCCGATTTGTCAAAGGCCTTACATCGATACTTATGTAATAAACACAACATTAAAAAAATAAAAGAGATCTATATCACTTATTAAGGAATAATCAAGAAATATAAGCTAATATAGGTGTGGGCTCGGTAATGAAATTTTAAATTGGTGCCCATTGTGAAATTAAGAGGAATTTTTGTTACTTTACTTGAAAATAGAGTATGTCCATAGCTGATTTTTCACGAGATCAAATATATAAACTTACTGTGTTTTTCATTAGTTTTTTGAAACTATGTATTCTCGACTGTTCCTCATAAATTTATACTAAAACTATCTATGGACGTACTCTATAATACATTCTTGTGAGGTTTTAAAGGATCATGCTAAAATTGCACAAGATGTTTGATTGAATAGTAATTGAATTTATTGTAAAACAACTGTAATCAACTTATAATTTGAATAAAACTTAACATACTCCCTCTACTATATACATCTGATGTATAAGTATTGGAAAAAAATTAACCGATTTTTGACATCCACAATAATGGATGCTTTTAACAAAGATAAAAGTATTCTACATTTTGAAATGTATTTACAAAATTTTGAATCTTTTGATTATACTTTTGTAGCAGTCCATTATTTTCGATTTACCATTTTTGGAAATTTTTGTTTGTTTGGAAGATCATGATGTAGCACAAAAATTACCAAAAAAATTAATCAATAAAAAGAAGAGAAAAAAAAAATAAATAAATAATAAAAATTGTATAGATACTTAGAAGAAACAATAAATAAATAAGTCTTTTGAAAAATAATTTCCTCTAAAGTACAATATCACTTTTTTTTTTTGTTTGTTATTTGCTTGTTTTCTGATCCCCACTTCCATAAAAAAAGAAAAGAAAATGGAACACTTTCACATTCAGGTGTACCTATGTATGTGATTTTTATCTGCACCAATGACTAGAAAAAATACCATTGAATTATTTTGAACAATTAATTTTTAGACACCTGAACTATTGTGAAAATGTTCCTTTAAAAATTATAATAAATAAATATAAAAAAAAAAGAATCGCCAGTTTTAACTTCCCCAAAAATAAGGTATCTTGTTGCTTTAGAATGAATGGTACTAGCTTCCAGGGCGTGGACTTGCGGTACTGACCACCACCATGGTTAAAGGCACTACTTTTCCGTTGATTTGACCGTTGATACCTTAAAATGAATCATTACTAGGCTAGGCAAGATGCAGAAAGATTGATTAGTTTGGGTCTAAACATTGTCTCCTTTGAAAGAGTCTAAATTCTTTATCATAGGAAAATGTATTTTGAGGTGTAAATACAAAAGTTGTGATAATTTTGGAACAATCTTCTACAGTCAAAGTCAATTCTCTTACCATTTAATTGTTGCGGAGTAGTTATAAAATGGGTGGACATCAGCGGCGCCAAATCCGTTAATCCTTTGTGAGGCATGATGGCGACCTTTTGCAAAACCAGCCCCTGGTTCACTTGATAGGGCATGGGAAGGACCGAGATGCCTGCGGTTTGTACTGGTTGAGTTAACTGCAAGAAGAATAGAATATAAGTTTGTCTTTTGTGTGTAAAACAGTGTATGTGTGTGAAAATACGGAGGAAATATTTCTCGAAAGTTTGCAGCATTTAAACATCAGGAACTCGTTATTTGACTTTGAAATATTAAAAACAACTTTTCTGGAATGTCTGGAAAGTTTCAATGATCATGAATACCAATATGGTGATGAAAATGAATAATAAAGAGCTTGTACATAAATTACGTCACAAAAACTTTGTTTTGAGAGCAGATTTAAAAGATACAGATAATGATGTTAATATTCACTCAATATATTTATAAGGGTACCCCCTTGGAATGTCAAAATTTGTAAACCCTAATTTCTTATTAACCGTTGGCCAAATTGAGTTAGAATTTTCAGTCTTCGTAGCTCTTATTAGGCTCTAAAAAACCTTCAATTCACGATATTCCCAGGTCTATAGTTTTTGAGAAAAGTGAGTTTGAAGTTTTTGACAAAATTTAAATTAAAAGTCAACTTTGAGGCTCAATTGCTCAAAAACTTTTTGAACTATAGAACTCAATTTAGTACATATTCATAGAGAATTTAATGCTCTTTCCAATGATATATAATTTATTTCACTTTACTCAAAATTTAACAAAGATATGGGTAATTGCTCAGGGCCATGTCAAGATTTTGAAAATTTTCCAGATCCAAAAATAAGATTTTCTTTTGAATTTTTTTTTTCTTTAAAATTGCCTTTTGTTTGGAATCGATGTCAGTCACTAACTTTGACCCGCTCTATCCATTGGGAGAGTCAAAATTGAGCAAAATTGAAAAACTAAAAAATCGAGTTTCTATAAAGGTACCCCCTTGGAATTTGAATTTCAACATTTTCAAACCTGAATTTTTTTGGTAACCATTGGGCAAATCGAGTTTAAATTTTCAGCATATGTAGCTCTCATTAGGCTCTAAAAAGCCTGTAATTTACAATATTTCCGGGTTTACAGTTTTTGAGAAAATTGAGTTTGAAGTTTTCGACAAAATTTGGACTTGGAGTCAACTTTGAAGGTCAATTCCTTAAAAACCATTCAAACTATCAAACTCAATTCAGTACAGATTTATAGAAAATTTAATGCTCTTTCCAATGATATTTAATTTATTTCACTTTACTCAAAGTTCAACAAAGATATGGGCAATTGTTCAGAGCCATGTCAAGATTTTCAAAATTTTCCAGATCCAAAAATAAGATTTTCTTTTGAATTTTTTTTTTCTTTTCCAAATTGCCTTTTGGAATCGATGTCAGAATTGTTTTTCACTAACTTTGACCCGCTCTATCTATTTAATTTGAACTCCAAAATCTTCAAAGTCATAATTGGAAGTAAAATCTCTTCAAGATACCATAGAAGTACATCGAGGGGGTAATCACTTGCGATATTCCAGGACAGAAAATCTCTATAGATCTTCATGGATATCCTTGTATCTCCAGGCCTAATTTGTCTCCATGAAGATAATTTGGATATTCATGTATCTCCACCGGATATCCATGTATCTCCAGGGGTATCTATGGATTTCCACATATCTCCACGGATCTCCATGAGATCTCCATCCATAGTAGGACAGAAGATTTTCATATATTATTATATACTTATGGGTATATTTTCATTATTAAATGACTGTTGGGAAGGGACTGACCTTAATATCAAATACTGATACAAAGGGTAATTAACTTCTCATTAATATAGCATTGAATTTTACCCAAAATATCACTAAATCAATTTTGGTAAAGAAAACTCAATGCAGTTAACCTGAACCAGTTAAAAACATCTAACTGAAGACAAGGGATTGTTTAATAAAAACGCCAGAGGTCATTTTGCCTCACAACTTTCCCTTTTTTCAATCCGAGTTCAAGACTGAGCAAATAGAGTTGAATGATGTCAATGAACACTCAGTGAAGAATTGGATGAAAAATGGCAAAATATCAAAAGTATGGAAACACAAATGAAAAAGGATCTTTGGACTGCAAACTTGCAAAATTTAGAAAAATCAACCCTCACTTTACTCACCTCTTTGGTGCCAGTTGGCACAGTAGCACTGGACAACGACTTGCCCAAAATCGGAATGGATATTTTGCTCTCCCCGTTGACGGTAGTAGCAGAGGTTATCACAGAATTCTTCTGGGTTATCACAGCGGGACTACTGGAACTACTGGACAAGGTCAGCGCCGTACTGCCGCAATTTGCCGCTACAGTCACCAGTCCCGGACTGGCCATACTGACCACGTTGCCGCCGAGACTGGCACATGGCATCACTGTTGCCAAATCGTCCATCTCACTAGCTTCACAATATACTTCGTCGGAGGTGGCTATTTTCATTGGTTCTACAATTGTGTAGGTGGGACTCATTGAAGAACAACTGCAATTGGATCTATTATTACAAGATCATCATTTAGAGTTACAGTTACCTTGGACTAGGACTAGAGGCCATGTATTCTATTTTGCCGCCATTTTGCGTGATACTGGTGGTACTTGAAGGAATTTCTGGAATTAGTTTGGAAAAATCCACATTGTCAAAATGACTGTCTTTTTTTAGTGTGGCTAAACGTTGCTGGTGGGTGATTTTTTCGCGGGCCAGCCTCTCCATTTCATGCTCGTAGTCCCTTTCTCGCCGTTTCAATATTTGAATATACCTAGAAATTACAAAAAAAAAGGTTTAATAATTGAATAATTATTATTATAGCAAACATATTATTACAACAACAATATACATACTTACTTTAATGCTGAATGTAAAATACTTAAATTTGAAGTTTTCTTTTCATCACCGTTAGCTGGTAATTGTTTCTTTAATATGTCGAAGCATTCCTTCAAATGAGCTCTCCGATGCTTTTCTAATTTATTGTGAACCTCTCTAGTACCTAAAATGAATTATTTTAAGTTTGATTCAAACAAAATAGAAATATAATTCTTACCAGCTCGAAATACCAAAGGCGGTTGTTTAAGTTTTTTCGATTCCGCCGGCCCTTCTTCATCTATCACCAAAGGATTCATAATGTCAAAGGAATTATGTATGGCCCTGTGTCGTTGATTTTGCGACACGGTGGTACTGGAAATGTGTCCGTCTTGTTCTTTTTTCGATTGCGCGGTACCATTATGATGGCTGTCTTGTGGAGAGGTACTGTCTGTCGTTGGTAAAGCGGTGGCGAACGAAATTGGACCTGGAACATTTCCATTTCTCTAACATATTGATAGTTTGTATTAAATTACTGTTGGGAGGGGACTGACCTCAATATCAAACAACAGATACAAAGGTTAATTAACCTCTCATTAATATAGCATTAAATTTTGCCCAAAAATATCAGAAAATCAATTTTGGAAAAATAAATTTAATGCACAAACTGCATTTACTTAAACTTCATATCAAATACTATGGAATCCATATTGGCATTTTAAGTATGTACCTTGCACACCCTGTAGAAAAGTTGAAGATATATTGTTACTGGAAATAACAACGGTTTGAGTTTGTTGCTGTTGTTGGCCCTGCCCGATGTTTGGAGTTGTTGTAGAGGAATTTAATAGCTTGACCGGTTGTAGTGTAAAAGTTTGTACAGCTCCGCTGGTCTGAAAATTAAGAAAATTTTCAATTAAGATGTTTTTTTCTGGAATAAATATTTGAAAACAATATAATAGCTATTGCATAAATACATACTACAAAATAGTTTACCATAAATTAGTGTATTGATAGGAGCTATTGAGCTTAGCATTGAAATTCCAGACAAATTATATTTTGTTTAAATACATTATTTTATTAACAATCTTGAAAAACAATTAATAATATACATTGATATAATATGGTATATTTTTATTGATAAATTACTGTTGGGAAGGGACTGACCTTAATATCAAATACTGATACAAAGGGTAATTAACTTCTCATTAATGTAGCATTGAATTTTATCCAAAATATCACGAAATCAATTTTGGTCAAGTAAACTCAATGCAGTCTTGTCTTAACAAGACAAGGACAATTAACTAAGGACATGTAAACGGTCATTTACATCCACGTAACTTAACTTAACGTACGGAAAATTATATTTAACGTACGGAACTAAAAAGGTGTGTGTTTACAATGGAGTTAATTTTCCTATGTGTAATCACCAATGACTAGTTCAATCTGTCCGTCAATCATAATTATTATTGAAATTAAAGCACGGATTTCATCAAGTTGAAGTTGGTTCAACTTTTCTGTATGTTACGTTCATTTTCTTAATTTTTAAGTGGATGTAAACAACTACATACAAGTACATGATCTTCAACTTTTCTTTATTAATAATTTTCCGTATGTTAAGTTAAGTGGATGTAAATGACCCGTAAGTGTTTAATATTGTAGTAGGCTTAAGTTAGTTATAGGGAGTTCTGACGGTTCTGACTGATACACAGAATGATAGACAAAAACAAATGTCTAATTCCTATGTAGTTATAGAAACTAGATAAAACATTGCCAAAGTTGCTTGTGCAGTTCAATATAATAGATCATAACATTGAAAAATAATGCTGTACCAAACATTATTTCTATACATAGAATACTAAGGATCTTACATGATCGATTAAAACCTTGCTAGAAGACCTTGAAGCAGAAGTCACTATATGCAAGCTAGAAGAGCCAACAGAATGGCTTAATGCATTAGGGATTGTGGAGAAATCTAACGGTGACCTTCGATAATGTCTTGATCCCAAACATTTAAATGATTTGATGAAAAGGGAGTAAATTAGCTCAAAATTATGTGGCAAACGGTATTTTAGATATGAGTGATGGGTATTGGCAAATATAATTAGATTCAAAGAGTGCCGATTTGTGTAGTTTTGGTACGCCATTTGGCCGTTATAAGTTCTTAAGAATGCCTTTTGGAATCACATCTGCCCCAGAAGTTTTCCAGAGAAAAAATTATGAATTGTTCGGATATACTTATAGAGGGCGTTGCACTTTATTTTGATGACTAATAGTGGCAGGTGCTACAGAGTAAGAGCATGATCAGAATTTAAGATTAGGTAGTTTTACAAAGGGCATTGGACTACAACGTTAAATTTATTCAATTAAACAGTCAATTTAAGTTAGCGGAAAAATCTGTTAGTATTGGAAAAAATATAGCAAAAAAATCCTTGAAGGAAAGAAACGATATATATTCAGCTTTGCTTAATTATAGAAACAGTCCAATCAAGCATAATTATGGATTTACACCATCTCAAATGCTGAATAGTAAAAGATGCAAGTTGAAAGTTTCAGTAGAAAGAAGTCTGTTAGAGCCGTAATTGTGTCAAAGGGTTGTTGAAAAATTATTAGGTAAACGTGATAAAGCTATGTCATTATGATAAAAACGCAAAAGATTTGTCAACTTTACTAACCAATCAAAATGTAAACATGTATAATCATGTGAATAAAACATATGGGAACTCTGGAAAAATCCTTAATAATTATGATGAGCCTAGATCATTTAATGTGCAAGATGAAAGTGGCAATGTTGTTAGAAGAAACAGAATTGATCTAAAACCTTCCAATAATCAGTATGTTCAAAAGTTAATGATGTTGACAGAGTGAATATTGAAAATGTTTCTTCTGGCAATCAATCGTCAGATGTGTGTGATTTTCTGATGGCAAGTATGTACATCTGACAATGATGCTACCATGTCAAAACAAGTGAGTCAAGAGGCTAAGGCTAAGGTAATTGATTCTTATAAAAAATCAGTGACTGTTACTAGAGCGAGCAGGCGTATCAAAGTTAGATCTTTTGAGAGGAAAGATGTTTAATATTGTAGTAGGCTTAAGTTAGTTATAGGGAGTTCTGGCTACACGGAAATAGACAAAAACAAGTGTCTAATTCCTAAGAAGTTGTAGAAACTAGAATAAACATTGTCAAATTTGCTCATGCAGTAATTTAAATATTGCTAATAAAAAGTACACTTCTATGTAATACTTCTGGATATAATTATCAAAATTGATAAGTTTATAGGCAAAATTTGCAAAGTAGCTCCCGGAAAAACTTTATAATACCGAAGAAAGTGCAGAAGAACTGAGGAAAGTTTTAAGAAAGTTTGTGGAAATCCAAGCTAATAGTACAATATTAAAATTATGAAAGTCTGAGTAAGAAGTTTGGAAGAAGAATATGAAAAAGGATAGATGAGGAATGAATAGGGAAATCCAAAATTTGCTTGGGAGCAAGACAAACTGAAACTATACATAAGTCCAAAGAAATATTCAGGAATTCTGGGAGAGTTTCGATAAATGTATAAATAATAGAGAAAATGATAGAGAATTTTTCTATGCAAAATTTGAAAAGTAGTTTCTTGTTTCTACCTCCACCATAGGGCACAAAGGAAAAAAGGGAAGTTTTTGAAAAACTGGAGAAATAACCATCAGTCGATAAAAGTTTAGAGAAGCTCGAACTAATATAAGAAATTTTTAGAGAAATTCGAAAAAATTGCAAATTATAGAGGCAGTTTTCACATAAAATTTGAGGGGAAACTATCTGTGAAGTCTTCACCTCAATACCCCAAGGAACGTGTAGAGGAATTAAAAGAAAGTTTGTAGGTAGAACACCGAGAAAGTTCAATATAAATTACCTATGCAAGTCTGATGAAGTGGAAGGAAGTTTCAATATGAAATTGGAAAGTTTTTGCTCTTATTCAAGAACAACAATTCAGGTAAATTAGGCAAAGTCTGAGGAAGCATTGGGAAAGTTCGGAAAAACTTTTGGCAGAAAACTATCTATGAAGTCTTCACTTTTAACCAAGGAACTGCTGAGGCGGGTTGGAAAGTTCCAAAAAAAGTTTTTGTAGTCTTTAGAAGTACGAAAAAATTCAAATTTTGTAAATCTGTATCTGAAGAATGTGTAAAATAAAGGATGTGGAAGGTTAATTTTTATTTTTATGTCTCTTTTCTTATTTGTTTTTATTAATTTCATTCTTTCTTTTTCTTGTTCTATTTTTCAGCTTTTTATTTAATTTTTTGTTTATTCGTGGTTTTTTTTTTTTTTTAAGTTTTCCGTCTCCGGAAAAATTATCTTTCAAAATTTACAGAAATCTATAATTATGCAGCGTGCAGATTTGTAATTAGTACGTAATCCGTGCGCTATGCTACATTTACATAGACTTTGTGACTGTTGTCTGCGGGATTCCCCGCTAGTTATGCGTCATTTCCAATCCCAACATATAGGTTTCAAAATATCCGATAGATTTAGTTCAAGTATCCATTCGATACCGATACTTCTTAAGTATCCAAGTTGCAAATCACTACTAAAAATGTTTCAGTCGATCTGAAACCCTACGGGATTGAGAATAGAATGTTAAGCCATAATTCAAATGGTGATTGGTGAGAAGTTTTAGAGAGTTAAAATTAAACACAAACCTAATATAATTATGGGATAAGTCAATTATATGGTGGTTTGTGGTGGTGGTTAACTTTTCAAAACTCCTTTGCCAATCACATTTAAATTTTTGCCCAACGTTCTATTCTCAATCTGGGTTTCAGATCGACTGAAACATTTTCAGCTTTATTAGTAGATAATTAACTTGACTATATTGAAAAAAACAGTAGCCGGGTCAGCTAATATCGCTATTTAAAAATAGGGGTTTTTGGTAGGAGAGTGAGAATTTAGAGTTGTATGTATTTTTTAATGCCACATCCATCATAATAGTTATTTAACTATCAACAGCGGTAAGTGTCATTTACCGCCCGAGAGTGTTTCAATATTCGAGGGTGGTTAACGACACAACGCCCAAAATATTCATTACGTTTTATGCATATCGGACTCTTCCAGTTCAAAAATAAAATAACCATATTTATATGATGGCATCCATTTGACATTGTTTTATTTATTTATTTATGGTACATCTTACAAACATCAAGCAAGTTGATAATTTTCAAAAATAAACAGTCTTTTCCTTTATACAGGGTTCATGTTCCACCGGGAATTACATCGATCTGTATATGAAAAACTGTATGCAGAAAATTTTTGAAAATTTGACAGTATATACTAATGTCAATGGGGGCAATCCGGCTTAAATATTTTCAAGATGGTGGCACGTAGATGTCAACTTGCTTATTTTGAATGAAACACCCTTTATAGGATTGCATATTTGGATTCTACATAAAATTCTGAGCAGATTTCATGCGGTATACCCTATACCTAAGTTCAACTGTTTTGGAAATATTGACAGTCAAAAATTGACTTTTTGCAACTTTGACAGGCTGTAAAACCTAAACGGTTAATTTTTGAGGAAAACGTTTACATTCCTATCTTATATTTTCATAAACTATCATTTGACACCAACTTTAAATTTAACCAGAGATTAAATTTAATTGGAATTTTGAATTGTGGATTAAATTCAAAGTTGGTGTCAAATGATAGTTTATGAAAATCTGAGATGGGAACGTAAAATCGATTTCACTCTAAAATTAACCGTAAGTCGCAAAAAGTCAATTGTCGACTGTCAATATTTCCAGAACAGTTGAACTTAGGTATAGGGTATATCACATGAAATCTGCTCAGAATTTTACGTAAAATACAAATGTGCAATCATATACAGGGTGTCTCATTTGAAATAGGCAAGTTGACGTTTACTTCTGGCATAACCGAAAGTGCCACTATCTTGAAAATATTTAAGCCGGGTTGCTCCATTGACATTAGTATACTGTCAAATTTTCAAAAATTTTCTGCATACAGTTTTTCACATATAGATCCATGTGGTTCCTGGTGGGACACCCTGTATAAAGGCGCATTTCCACTGAAAAATTGGCAACTTCTGTTTTTGAAAATCTTCCAAAAATCAACAACTTTTATATTTTTCATGGTAATCCACACCGATTTTGATAATAATATATTATCTATTCACAATCCGATGTTCAAAGGTAAAGGTAAATTTATCACCTTTCCCTATCAAATAGCACTTACCTTTAGACTACGGATTGTGAATAATATATATGTATAGATATAGTTGTTGGATGCATATAATAAATAATTCTAGCTGATCGTGCATAAAAACATAACAATCTCAATAACAATTAAAAATGTTGTCCAAAAAATTAGATAAATTTTTTTGAGTTGAACCACCCTTATCACTTAGGGGTATGAAACACAGAATACGACCGATTCTCAGACCTACTGAATATACATATAAAATTTTATAAAAATCGGTCAAGCCGTTTCAGAGGAGTATTGTTACAAACACTGTGACACCAGAATTATATACAGGGTATACCATTTAAAACGAAACAGGGTGAATATCTGATGTCACTTTTTTTTTTGAATCGCTCGTACACGTAATTTGATTGTGTGAGCGTTTAGAACATTTTCAACATTAACTTAACCCTCAAGGAGGGGGTGAGACCAACCTTTACTATTCCAAATCGAACAAGGGGTCGAGTGATACCTGTTTCAAAAGAGCATTTAATTTTCTTTCAAATGACATCAAATGAAAGAGAATTGAACGCTCTTTTAAAAGAGGTATCACTCGACCCCTTGTTCCATTTGAAATAGTGAGGGTTGGTCTCACCCTGTCTAGAGGGTTGAAGTTGAAGTGTTAAAAATGGTTGCAGAAAACTTCCCCCTTTGAAAATCAAATTACATGTACGAGAGCGAGAGATTTTTTCAAAAATAAATAAACGCGGCATCATAGATATTCAGCCTGTTTCGTTTTAAATGGTACACCCTGTATATTAAATGTATAAAAAGGATTTATGCAATGAAAACTGAAGCTAAAATGAAAAATGGGAATGTATAACTGATTGTAATACATATAATATGTACAAAATTAAATAGAAATAATGTACACAGTACATAATATGAAAAATACCTAAAAACATACAAATAAGTAGAAACAATATTCATATTTTTAGAATTAATTACATAATAGGTATTATTGTATTCTTAAAATTGGCAATTTTATCGATATTTTCGAAATTAATTTTGGTTCCTATTAAGTCTGTTCTCACAGAAAACAGAAATCACAAACCAGTCAGAGCGGATAGGTCCATATCGCCAACCACCAGTTTTCTGATTATTTTCAACCAATGAAATTCGCTCTGACTGGTTTGTGATATCTGTGAAAACAGACGTATTATTTATACAGGGTGACACAAGGAATAGAGCACAACCTTGCCCTATTTCTTGTGTCACCTTGTAAGGTTTCAGCCTTGGTGTCAGTTCTTTGTGTAAATGTTTCAAGGTCTGAAAATAAATTGTTGCTAAAAAAAAATAAACTCCCTACAGTTTTTATTTCCATAGATGATATCAGAAAGCAAAACAAAAGAGAAAAAATACAATTTGGCAACATTGTTACCAATCAGCAGATGACCTTTAAAACCAGTCCTACCCAAACAACAAACAAAATCGCAATAGAACCACGTTGCGAAATCATGCCTCCTGTTATTTTTCAGGGAATTTTCAATGTAAATTTAAATTTAGCAAAACAAATTCTTACCCCGTTTTGCACGTGTGTGGTTCCCCCGTTGACCGCCTGCGTCACTGGTCGAATTGTGGTAGTCGTGGAACCTGCAGGATCCAAGGCAGTGGTCCTGTGCTGTATTTGTTCCTGCATTTCCAGGAATTTCGCCGCCTCCAGGAGGGTGTTCAAACTCATGTTGTCCTGCACGACGCCGTTGGTACCCACGGGGGACTGTAAAAAGATAATTTGCACATTGGACAACGAGTTTTTCGGTAAGATTTGAGGGTTCTTTGGGTGCGACGTCGTCGACGTCATTTTTACCCACTAAAATATAAAAAGGAAAATTTCAGGAAACGGAGAGAATCCGAGTCGCGCCAAGGATTTCGTAGAAATGTAGAACGCAATGGATTTTGTGTAGAAGTGTAGGAGGAGACAAAATAAAGCGCATGTTGCGGCATTGCCAAGTCAAAAAGGGCGAATTTCTTTGAAAATTTTATCCTCAAATTATCTAATAATACAAACTCAAACAAATAATTGCATTAAAAAATAGCATTACAAACACAAAAAATCCATAAGGGCCTAAAAAAAAACATTAATTATCCTATTTTTGTGAGCAACAGGAAAAATTTAATAATTTGGCAACATTGAAGGGGGCATCCTATGCAGAAGGTCAAATCGAAACGCAATACGGCGTTGCCAAGTCTTTAGTTAAATAAAATTAAATTAAATGTTCTGCTACACCCTCACCAAAAAACCTATGAAAAGGGTAATTGGCATGCGCACACGGCATTAAACTACGTCACTGCACAGGAAAATTATCGTTATTGGGCAGTTTTTGGACGAAGTTGTATGATCGTTTTACGTGCAAATAACTACTAAACCATTTCCACTTGTAATTCAAAGATTATAATTTGTAATCTGAAATAAGAATTTTATTTTTGGAGAATATAACTTAATTTTGGAACTGAAACTTGAAATTCGGAAACTGTTATAGTTATTAACTTCTAAGTCTAAGGTTATTAATGATAATAGTTCGATATGAACACCCTAATGAAACGCGTGTAACGTTAAAACAAGATGCGTCAGCCAAGTGGTTTAAAGCTACTTATTGATTTGTTGGATAATAATACCGATAATAATCCAAATTTGGACTATTAATTGGCTCTTAAAACATTGTCCAGCGAATCAAAAGCCAGCTATAAAATTTTCCCTTGATTGTCTTTGCCTTGAACAACTGTCCAACGAGTCAAGAACCCTAAAATACTCTAAATTTTGACTATCAGATGTATTTTATATAAATTTGATATTCAATTAAGTTTACACAATAATATTTAAATTTGTGTACCTAGTAAATTTTTTTTCAGCTTTTAATTTATTTACTTCATCAGGCCAATTAAGTATATAGGTAATACATATTATTATGGTCAAGTTGTTGTTTTTTCCTGGTTGAACAAATTAAAGTTATTTGTCTATAGTTTTTTTCCAAACAAAAATGCCTTTGTTATCCTGTGACATTCATCGTAATTTCCTGTTCAGGTTTTTTATTATAATTTGGCAACATTGTTGGGCCACGAAAATCGACTGAGAAACTGTTTATTTTGCGGACCACGTTTCCGTTTTGTTGTGAGTGAAAAACGGGGACGTGACTAAAAGCGCTTAGGTAGGCACGGTGTGACCTCAAAAAACAAAACCATAATTTTTTTTTGTGCTTATTATAAGCCACGATTCCCCGCTTTCTATACAAACACGACAATCCGACTACAATGTTCGAGGTGGGCGTTTTCTGTGAATCCTCAAGCGATTCGGACTTAAGCAACTGACAATGCGGCAACGTCGCAGGTCATCCAACACGTGTTCGGATGTGGTGCGGTAATTAAGCCCCTCCAACTATGAATGGCATGATGCATAATGGATGCGACGTTGTCGTTTTGTCGATAAAAGATTTGACTAAAAAGAATTTATACTCAAATGGTTTTTCTCAGGCTTAGACAAGTATTTGGTAACTAAACGCCTCATGACAATCTACAATGTGAACAATTAAATAGGAATGATGATCAAGTGAAAATTTTATCCTCCAAATGAATAGTAAAAAGTGTAAGAACCGGCCAAGAAGAAACCATTAACGTCATCACTGACGAAGAAGGAAAATTACTTTTTCTCTAGGGCCCTCCTATTTGAAGTGAGACAAACGATAACGCGTGTGTATTCTTCTTAGTTGGTTCGAACTTAATAAGTTCATTAATTACAATTACGCCTCTGATAATATATGTAAAATGTATTGGGGCATATTACCTAATATGGCAAACAACCAAAAAAAACAAATAGTCAACAAACCAGAAACAAAAAACTTGTCCAAAGTTACTTAAAATGTATAAATTACTTAATGCATAAATTACTTAATGCAAAAGTTGCAACAGCAAGGACAGACGAGAGGATGCCTATTTTAAGTATTAATATTACGTGTTGCGTCTAGGCAAAAACAGGATGACATGGCAACAGCGCAAGGTGAGACCCGTGTCCGTGCACCACGCATGCTGTGAAAAATATCACAAAGGCGCTTGCAGTGTTGCTTTATCTTATCAATATTTGCTAGGCCAATAATCTATACATTATCATTGTTTTTGTAAATAGATAATAACATGTATGACTTTGAGGAACTATGAGTCAAATTATATCTGATGCAAAAGTTAAGCTGTGGTCCGAATGTAACCAGGGTTGTGGTTTCGCGGTCCGAAAGTAATCAAATTACTCTGGATCCTGGAAAAGTGTGGTTACTTTTGGACCTCGGTTTCCTGAAATCTGGTTAACCAAATGTCAAAGTAGTTATACCGGCCATCAGATGTGGGAGTACCTATAACATAACCATTTGTCAACCGATTCGGTTACTTTGGGTATCGTTTGGTTATATTCGGACCATAGCCTTAAAAAGTCACGTTACCATTCAACGTCAAAAAACTTACAGTATAATGCAAAAACAACATAATGTTTGTGTCTCATATTTATTTTGCCCGACTATTAAGAGAAAAAATCGGACTTGGCAACAGTGGAACAACTGTAGCGTGCTTATTCACGCCCCCCCTTATCTCTCTTTTCCCCAACTAGGGGACATTCTACCACGCGACAACTGACACGCTTGTTGTTGGGGTCTCGTTTTGTTTTCAAGTTGTTCGAGCCTACTATGGGATTGCATGGCCTGAATCACGTAGTTGAATAACTGAATTCTCGGTTTGAAAATTGGAAGATTTAAGGTATCTACTCTATGTAGGTAGGTATATGAAATTTGAGGAGTTATCAGAGAGAGTTTGCCTAAACGTGGGTTTTTCTGCTTTATAACATAATAGATAGATCAAATTTTCAATTTTGAAATGGTGTAGTCACCAGGACCACAAAATTGCAAACCATCAAAAGGAACACAGAAATATAGATCCGATTTGCTTTTCTATGACCTCAAACCGGACTAACGACGGAAATATCAGGGGCACACACTGGTAAAACCCTCTTCCGCCGACATTTAACTTTAAGAAAATTGATAAAACTAACTGTGACCACTGAACACCTTTCCGCTGTTGCCCAAAAGGCGTTGCTTCCTCCTTGACAATCGGATCTCTCTTTCTGTATTCCTTCTGCGTCCTTATTCTTGAAACAGGGGAGAATAGATATAGATCACAGGTTCTACGCCCTCCGTTCTCTGGAGGAGATTTACCCTGTTTCTAGACCTGTATGAGCTATTCTGATACAGCTTTGGACAGGTCCGATATAGCTTTAGACAGGTCTGCATTTAGCTCTAGAGACAGGATAGATAGTCAAAATTTAAACTACTACTGTCTCTTGATTCTCTGGAAAACTTGCGTGGAGCCAATCCAGAGCCGGTAATAGTCAGAACTTGAACTTTTATCAACTCTGGATTCGCTAGAGATTTTTCCTAAAAGCATTCAAAGCTCAAGAGCCGATAATAATCAAAATTTCGAATGATCATTAGCATTAAGTTGATATTAATCAAATTTCTTCTTCTGCAGCTTCTAATTGGCTCAAGAAAAATTATCCAATGGATCAAGATCCACAGATAATCAAAATTTGAACTATTACTGGCTCATGATTCTCTGGAAATGTTTCCTGGGGCCAATCAAGAGCCAGTAATAGTCAAAATTTGAATTTTTATCAAAAGCAAAGTATTCGCGAGAATTTTTGGCCTTCCAAACCTGTCCTATTCTACTCTACTTCTTGTCGATCTATTACATCTTCTTGTTCCCCCAGGCTTTTATTTCACTTAAAAATCTTGGTTTTGAGTTGATATTGGTCTTTTCTAGTGTTTCCCATAGCTTTTTCAGTGGGGTATTGTCATATGCTTTTTTTAGATCTACAATGAAGTGCGTTGTTGTCATATGCTATTGATTTTTCTATTACCTTGGTCAAAAATGTTTACTACATATCAAGCACAACAAAACTTCCACAACAGATACACAGTTAGTCACTACCAGAACATGTTACTCCTCATGACCAGAGCTGTCAATAGATACTTTTAAAAAGTATTTAGTTACTTTTGAAAAAAGTATCTGAAGTTACTTTGGGTATTCAGTTACTTATTAAAAAAAAAGGATCTTAAATAATCTTAGGTCACTTTTTAAGATACTTGATAAGATACTCATCAAGATACTTTATTATTACTTCCAAATAGCAGTCGGAAAAGCCGATTAAGCTTTTTGCTGTTTGCTGTTTAATTTACTTGGTTCACAGGATTCAGACTCAATTTTAAAAACAAGAATTTTTATAGTTTAAAAATCACAAATTCGAGTATAAGGTTCAAAATCGCAGGACGTAGAAATAGGCCAAGGCACTTAGCGAAATAACAGCCATATTTTAACATAAAATTTAACAGCAAACTATCGATGCAATATTGTTAAGGATCATTTATAGATGCTAAAAACTAAAAATGCAACATCTAATTACTTTTAGGGGATTTTATAAACAATATTTAGTGCAAAAATAGGGCTTTTTTTTGTTTATTTCACTGTATTTCGAAAACTAAGAATCAGATGGTTTTGCTACTGTGGCAATAGTTTTAGAGCATTGAACAAGCTTTAAAATGAGCCATCATACAACCCTGTAGGTCTTTTAGTCTTCGAGAAATGATTTTTTCCCCAAAAAAAGAGATTTTCGTAAAAAATTCCTAACTTTTTTAATTTTCATGCTAGACAATTAATTTTTTACACATACAGAGTAGATGAGGCAGG